AAAATAATTAAAGTTACAAAATTAAAATTTAAAAAAAAAATTTTTAAATCTAAAAATTTAAAAAATTAAAATCCAATTACGTAACTACTCAATAATAATTAAACTAATTAAAAATTAAAATTAAAAAATAATTAAAAAATAAACAAACAAAATACAATCAAAGTAATTAAATTACATAACTAGTCAATAAAAATTCAAACTAATTATAAAATAAAATTAAAAATAAACAAAATAAAAATAATTAAAAAGTAAACAAATAATCAAATTACGTAACTCGTCAATAAAAATTAATAAAAATTTTAAAAATTCATTAAAACTAATTTAAAAAACGCACTAAAATTACGTAACTAGGTCACTGATTACGTCACAAGGTCATTGATTACGTCACAAGGTCACCGAAGGTGACCCACCCTCCGCTCCTCCGCCAACGCCAGTTGGCGTAGTATTTTATGTCTTTGCGCATCCGCATCCGCTCCTCCACATCCTGCTGCGCCAGGCTGCCCGGCTGGGAGTATTTTACTATCTCTCATTGTCCCTGCGGCGCATCCCATTCCCGAGTATTTTGCTATATAACCTTTGCGCATCCCCCTCCATCCCTCCGCCAAAAATACTAACCAAAAGTGACCTAATAGACTACTTATATGTATGTATGTATATATATATATATATATATGTGGGGGGGCGGGCGGGGGGGGGGGGACGACATATGTCCCCGGGCGCCGACCTTAGGGGGCGCCAAAATGGGTTGAAAAAATAAATTGAAAGGTTGAGGGGGTGCATATCGAAAGTTTGAGGGGGGTGCAAATCGAAATCTTGAGGTGGGGGGTTGCAAATCAAAAAGTTTGTCCCCGGGCGTCGGGAAGGGTTTCTACGCCTCTGGTCGGTTATTATTCTTATTATTATAGTATAGAGAAATTATTGTAAGCATGCAAAAAATAAATAAACCGGGAGTGATCTCCCCTAAACTTTCTGGAATATTCTTATACGAGCCGACCCGCGGCATATCATACGTCGCTATTTATAGTTGTTTTATTTTCTACTTTTCAGTAATTCATAATTTGTGAATTCGACAGTACCAATGCTGCCACTGAAAATATTTGCTTTAAAACATTATCAGTAGGCCGTTAAGGACAATACTACCCCCACCCTCCTTTCCCCCAACCCCTACCCTACCCTACACCCCCCCCCCCCCCCCGTGAAAGCAGCCTCCTCTTAGTTACCTCCCCTAAGTTTAAAATAGTTTCAAACTAAATTATCTGCGTCACTAAGCCCGGCTCTATGATTGTAAACATTTAGCGTGAACCACAGCTCACCAGACCATGTAGGGGTGGGGTGGTAGGGAGCGCGCTTACAGCTTGTTTTCTAGCGTCTCCAAGAAGAGAATTATATATATATATAGATAACACTACGGGGGATGGCAACTCGGGATATAGACAATATTTTTAAACCATTTTAATTACTTTTTATAATAGAATAGAATCTCGTAGAAAAAATAATTGCACACCAAGTGAACGCCAAACAAAATGTGCATACTAGTGCGGGATATTATTAGTACTTTATAAATTCACATGCGTTTTTTTTTTTTTTGAGAAATCGGAAATAGCGTAAATTACTACTTCCGGTCAACGGAAATTACTCAAGGCAGAAAATTAGTTCTTTTACTTATATGAGAAATTTCATTTATCTATCTGAAATAGTATTCAAGTTATAGGCCTATGAAAAATTGAAAGTAGAAAAAGTTCCACTTCTGGTTATCGGGAATCGCTGAAAAGTTTATACGGAACTAAATCTACAAATTTGATATAATATTATATATGAAATTTCATCAACCTAGCTGTAACGATACTCAAGTTATCGTGTTTACAGACACACATAAACACACACAATACACACTCACAAACGGACAAGATTGCAAAATTATATTTTTCCGAAAGTAAATTATACACTACCTAAATATTAGTAAAGGTATCCAATAGATACTAAAGTGAACCACGCTTTTCTTTATAGCTATTTAAATAGTAGTCTATAATTTATTTTCTCCTTTTTAGTGCATTATTACCTAAAAGCATGTTATTAAAACGTTTTTTATGAATTTTTTCTACAAGCTTTTATTGAACTCACTTCCTCTGTCTATCGTCAGTCGACAATGCAACGTGACATTAAATTTGACTTAATTGGTTGCCTGAATAATTTTTTTATGTATTAATTAAAATTGTGTCCAAATTAGTAGGCTGTCTCATCAAACTATTCCGAGCTATTAGACATGCGTCATCACGTTTAATAGGGCGTCATCACGTTCAATAGGTGCGCAATGGTTTTAGTTATGCAACTCTAGTGTAAATAAAACATGTAGTACTAAGAAAATTTCATAAAAAACGTTTTAATAACAAGCTTTTATGTAATAATGCCCTAAAAATTAGAAAATAAATTATAGACTACTATTTAATTAACTATAAAGAAAAGCGTGGGTCTTTTCCAACCAAGAACAAACTACAAGGCAGCAGTTGTTTGATTTTGGAGTTGTCTCTCCTAGAAGAGTGGCTGTCCCCAGCTAACGAGCCTCATCTGCCCGAGACTTTTCGGTTTAGCAACAATGGGCTTTACCGACTCGACCACGCCGACCCCTGATCTTTAGTTTAATTTTCCTGAATATCCATATGCACACCAAAGTGTTACCGCCATCCGTGCGCAGTGAGCTGAGTGAATATCCATGTCCACACCGTTGCATCGCATACACAAGGGACATGCTACAACCACCAGATCGAAGATTAGGGGGAGAGCATAGGGCTGGTAAGTAGGTCACCAACCAGTTCTACGGCGCAATAAAACCTGCACGAGCCATAGAACTGGTTGGTGACCTACTTACCAGCCCTAGTGGGCTATTTTTTTTTTACCTTAACGGAGCACGGATAAAAGGTAGTCTATAATATAAACCGCCATGTAGTGTGTTAGTCCTTTCTTCCATCCATTCTTCCTTTTTTTCCGTCCTTCCATCATCGATATGGCCACTTCATCTTCGTCGACACGTGGTGTGAGTCGAGCTTATCATGCACGAGGAGGGCTCTCCATGGGCGCAGACGCCCTGGAAAACATGGTGTTCGTCGACGGTGTATATTACACCACGGATTCAAATGCTATAGTTTCGGATTGCAAAATTAAACAAGTTTTAAAAAAAAAACCTTAATAATAGTAAGCTTTTTAATGCACTGATAATATTTGATCTTTTAAATCAAAGCTTTGGTCGCTCATGAGATATTTAGATATTTTTAATGGCAGAAATCTTGGAGTATTCTCAAGAACTTCCCAAACAGTTTCATGGCGAGCGAATAAAGCACCCCCCCCATACACACATTGAGATATCCATTCCTTTCTTTATTCAATATCGTGCGGCGTCAAAACGGCCAATGACAAAACGGCCCCGACAAAACGACCCCGACATAAGAGCCACGTCAAATCGACCCCGTCAAAAGGGCCAGCGACATATGAACCCCGTCAAATAGGCTGCCGACAAATAGGCTCCAGTCAATAAGGTTCCCAACATATAGGCTCCCGTCATTAAGTTTTTAGATAAGACGGCCCTCGTCATTACGACTCCCAACAAATAGGCTCGCGCCATTTAGTTTCTCCACAAAACGGCCCCTGTCATTATGACTCTCGACAAATAGGCTCCCATCATTTTGGCTCACGACAAATAGGCTCTTGTCAATGTGGCTCCCGACAAAAAGACCACTGACAATACGGTTTCGTAGGGACTAAGTCTCCCGGCAAAACGGTCTCATCGAATATGACACCTGCCAGTTTGACCACTTCATCAATATTCTTTAGAGTTAGCTTATCCAACGTATGCATATCTTGTTCTGCAGGCCTTATTTTTTTATAATACTTTATCTATTATAATAAATAGTGTGTTTTAATTTATGGGTCATCTATCTATGACTTCCATAAACGATTCGGTTATAAACTGATCCAACTGAGTTTGTGGGGAGAGGGGTCCACGTTATCTACCTGCAGTATGCTTGTAGGTTATCAAAACAAAATGCCGTTATCCTGTAAACATTATGTATATAATACATTTACACTTCTGTGCTCGCTTTTAAGCAAAAGATCTTAACTGTTGTAAGTAAATTAAACATAATTAAATTGTTTGAATTTGTTTAATTTTGCTGTTAAGGGCTCGATTTGTTTGTGAATTAATGTTGGTTCATGAAAAACAAGTTCATTCAGGCATTTAAAAGAGGTTATATTGGTAGTGGAGGTAGGACAAAATGATTACTTTTATGCCAATAGTGATCCCACGATTCATTTGTCTGGAGCCAGTATGTCGGGAGTCATTTTGTCGGAAGCCAATGTGTTGGAAGCCCTTTTGTCTGTAGCCAATATGTCGTGAGCCCTTATGTCGGGAGCCAATATGTCGAGACTCGGGAGCCGCTTTGTCGGGAGCCAATATGACCTGAGTCTATTTGTCGAGAGCCTAAATGTCGTGAGTCCATTTATCGGGAGCCTAAATGTCGGGAGCCCATTTGTCGGGAGCAAATATGTCGCGAATCAATATGACGGGAGTTCATTTGACGGGAGCCAATAATTCGGGGTCCTTTTGACGGGGCTATTTTGACTGGGTCGTTTTGTCGGGGGGTCGATTTGACGGGGTCATATGAACGGGGCCGTTTTGACCCGGGCCGTTTTGAATGTGCACCATTTAATATATAGATCTAGATTCTAGATGTAGACTAAAAACTAAAAGACGATAGGCCGTAGCAAATCCACTGTTCACTATTTGGTTTGCTGAGTTTGTAATTTCTCCCCACTGGCAGTTGGAGCCTATTTATTTTTATAAATAAAAAAAAAGTCACTGACAACCATTTGTCTTCCTCAAATTATTTGTCTACCAAACACAATATAAAAATTGTGTTCGCCTACTTGTTAATTGGAATAATTGTTGAGTCGATCTTGGGAGTTGCGGTTTTTTCATTTTCGTTGATTTTGATTGTTTTCTACCTTTGGTTTGACCTAAAATTTAGGCTAAAACAAAGCTAGACTAGATGTAAAACTCCAACTACACTACTAGAACTTCAACATAGAATCTAAATCTAGATTAGATCTAGATTCTAGATCTAGATTTATCAAGACTAGTCTTGATCTAGAATCTCATAGACATAATTGCCAAAATTTAAAGTAATATTAATATTTGTCTAACGACAAAAAAATATTAAAAATGAGGTGAGAGACTCTGAGAGTATAGAATAGTATAGATCTAGATCTAGTTAGTTATAGATCTAGTTAGACTTAGAGGTAATCTATCGTTTTGGGTACGTAAAATCGCCCGCGATTTGTAATGTGAAAAACAGGTGACTCCTTAAATTTTAATAATTATTTCACATTTTTAGGAAGATTTATGTTTTAAAAAATTCAAAAATGTTTCCTTGATTCATTTATGTACCTGTTTTTAAACAATTGAATTAAAACTTTTCAGTAATAAATGAAGACTAGCGATGTTTCCAACAGATGCAACATGTAGCTAGTCTCATAACGCGAGTTGAATTACCTCCCCTGACCCGCTTTTTTATGGCCACTTTCTAGTTCGTTTTTTTCGATCGCGTCTCGGCACTGTTGCTAAAAATAGCATTCGCGCAATACCATACGGGTAAATCTGTTTGGCGTCTGCTACACGTGATAGATCGTTGAATGGCCGACAAGCTGATATAAAAATTATTGCGACCGGATGCGATTTTCGTGGAAATTGAGCTAGATTTAGCAAAAGACAGCTATATTTGTGTAAAATATTATTATTTATACTTCTACTTACACAGATATTTTGATAACTGCAGTTCAGCCGTCCATTTTTCTTTTAAAATGTATCTTTAGAATTTCTGTACCTTTTGGCAATCGGTCAGGAGCATTTGCGCACTAAACCCACCCCCCTACGGCAGATCCGATTTTTTTCCCAGTGAACTCGTACTGACCTCCCACATAGCTAAGATAGTACATTGATACTGATGGGAAAGCCTCTAAATCTGTATTCCTACTAGAGATCTAGAAATAAATCTAGATCGTGGAGTTTTTATAATGACTTTTAAATTGAATGTCTCCAGTTTAAGATATTTATTTTTCAAAACATAGCTACTTTTAGTACTATATTTATATGATTTTAAGTATTTCAAACCCTTTTGGTAGTTTTTTCTTAAACTTAGACCTAGATCTAGTGATTAGATATCTATATTTTGTACTTATAACTTGCAGGCCTATTAAAATAATAATAAAACAGTTTGCTTGATAACTTCATTAGGTCATTTCATAAACACAAATGTTATAAACATATAAAAATCACAAAACCATAGGTAATATCTGAATTCTGTAGCCTACCTTACATTTAGGCTAATACTGAATTAAAAAGAAATTACATTAAGGTTTGAAATTAATACAACTTGTAATTAAGAAAGAAAGCTTCAATTCTAAATACTACAAGATATAATAACAAACAATGAAACAAATTCAAAGCTTTTTTCAACCCATTTAGTCGAAAAGATTTTTATTTTTTCCGATATTGACCAAAATAAGTTTTTAAAGCTTAGGCCTAATGTTTTTACAAACATAACTCAATTTTATTAGGCCCCTGTAAACATTAATTAAGATTCCTCTGTAGACAAAGCAATCTATTTGGCAGATGAAGTAGAGTTCATGTTTCTTGACCTCGGCATATGAAGTGATTGTCCGTGTGGTCAGCGATATTCACAGCCGCCTTTACTTTTTACCTTTAATTTCCTCAATGTATATCAGGTACCCATCAGAAATGGGTGGACTCTAATTGAATTTTATTAAACAAACATTTTGATATAGGCCTAGATCTATAATCTATAACATTCCAAACAACATCTGTTCTGTAGAATTTAACTTTCTGCTTCCAAATGCGGTATTTTCCAATTGAAAATTCATCACAAAACATACAATAAATTATATAAATGGCATTTTATAAATTTATATAAACTATTTACTTTCACCTTGGTGTTAAAAAATGTAGGTATAAGCAAACTGATTTCAATAGTAAGAAAGAATCATGTCTTTTCTTGCTTACTAGCTTTAAAACAAGTGAATTTGACTTTTTACCTGCGTTTTTGGTCGCGTTTCTATATATTTTATTTGCGACACTAAAAAAATTATATTTAATCAACCCATTATGCTAAATTAATAAAATTGGTACTGTTGGATTGCATTTTTAAAGCTCTACAATTATATGTTATTCTTTTTATAATTTGAAGAAAATTGAATTTATATGAGACTAACTACAACATGCTCATTTACTATAGCAGCCATCTTGTTTGTTTTTTTTTCTAAATATAGTGCAAGATTCAGGGGGAAGCCACTCTATTTTACAAATGGCTGCTGTTTATAGCAAATCTTGCTTGCAAACACTGCTGTTTTAAGTTAATTTCTGGCCCATATTTAGGGCCTATATATTTAGCCATTGATTTAGGTTTATTATTCATTTATCTACAATATTTGACACAAACATATCACAATATAGATCTAGATGTAGTTCAATATACTTCTATTAAAGCCTTGACAATGAGGTAACTTTTTCGTACATTACTAGCCGCGGGCGATTTTACGTACCCAAAACGATAGATTACCAGTTAGACTACTAGATCTAGTACTAGTACTAGACTTAGACTAGATCTAGTACTACTAGTGATAGTAACTAAATCTAGATCTAGAAAAAGACTAGTAGTAGACAGTAGATCTAGATCTAGTAGTAGTCTAAGCCTAAGCTAAGACTAGAGATAATGGGAGGTATAGATCTAGAATTCAGAATTCTAGATCTAGATTTATTTTAGAGAACTAAGATTAGATCTAGATTTCTAGATCTAGATGTAGATTTTTAGGTAAAACCTTAGTAGTTTAATAGTTAGTTTAGCATCGTTAATTCGGCTAAAACTACTAGATTCTAGTTCTAGTAGTAGTAGTACTTAATTTAAGTACTAGATTCTAGATCTAGATTTGGTAAAACCTTAGTTTAGCGTCGGTTATTATTCCGGAATCGTACAGCAGTAAAAAACAAGAAAACATTGACAAAGTCTGTCACAAACTTCCGGAATCCACCGGAAGTACTGTAAACCATACTTTATTTGCGGCATTCTTTTATTTTTTTATACAGAATGTTTAAAATTTGGATATATTTATTTTATTTGTGTGTTAAAAACTGCTTTATTAATCATTTTGTATAACTAGTTATTTTTAAGTGTTTCAGCTAAATATTTCTACTACTAAACATTGTTAAACAGGGTTAGTTAATCTTGACCTCTTTTTTTACCCGCTATTATTTCTTAAGTTTGTCTGAGGGTGCAGGCAGGTAGTCTTATAAAAAAATTTATGCAGGAAGCTGTAACTAGTAGTCTGGGTATAAGTTAACTACTAATTTAATCTACTATTATATTTATTCATGTTTCCTTTTGTCGATTAAACTTAAAAAATTAAAACATTAATTTACTACAATCGATTTTCACTTTATTTATATTTCAATGGTCAAATAAACCATGGTTTACCTTAAATGTAGTTACCGAAACTCAACAAACATTACCCGATAATTTCCGACGCTAAAATAAGGTTTTACCCTAGATTTGATCTAGTAATGTGGGGTAGAGTGAATTAATGAAGAATTTAGAATATGTCTTTAAATATGAGTAGGCCTATCTATAGGCCTATTTTCGTATATTTTAATAAAATATGATGGATAATTGAATAGGCCTAATACTAATTGTCACTAATTGATCACCATTTTTGGTTAAATCAATTTAAATATCCTGAAATTAATTTTTATCAACCCTGTGTCGAGATTATTTAGACTAGCTTCCCTTTCATTTCTATTCGTATGAAAATGTATTTAAATATGATTGTCTTGTAGATTTAATTGTATCTGACTACTATCTGTATAGGCCTACAAAGCAATTTAAAAAAAAATTCTGCCCTTTAAAAACTGAATTTACTAATGAACAACATCATCAATTCTAGAAGTATTGTCACTGTAATATGCAACTAGTATTCATGTATAAAATCACGTTCTTTGTACTGTTTACTTGATCACTACTAGATTTCTATTACTATAGGGCTTACAGTTTGCGGTTTTTCTTTTTGTTTGAATGTTCGCTATTTTCATTTCAGGTTTTTTTTTCTTTTAAATTTAATTAGTGATTCTATCGTAAATTATGAGTTTTTTTTTTACTTCTCTTTACCTTAATTAAACCCCAACCTCCATCATATTTTCGTTGTCAATGTCACAAAAAGTCATAATGTAAAAAATTACGTTTCACTCTGCCTTTATCTAAGATCTTTAGCTATAATTTTGACAAAAATAAATGTTTTTTATCATTTTTATTTAGAGAGAAACAAAATGTATTAACCATCAGCTTCCCTTGTAAAACACCATCTAACAATATCAGCCACTCCACCCCTTAATTAAGTGCGTGTTGTCATTATCCTAAGTCTCCACTTTACAGATACATTTTGGTAATCCTTTGTTGTCAAAATGTCAATATCAAACACCCAAATGAGTGATATGGGGCTCTCCATAAATGATGTCACATATTATTTGCTACGAGTGAGTGAAGATTTGTGATGTCAACTCAGGCGGCTGCACAATTTATGACGTGTAGGTCTAATGATAGGAAGTGAACGGGGAAAAATACCTAGGTCATTGACAGAGAACCTCTATAATGCTATGTTAGATAAAAAATAATGATAAATAAGCAGTAGTATATGTATGCCTTGCTCAAAACGAATCATCATAATTGTTGTAAGCCTGCTAGTTTGAGACATTTGGAAAAACGACCTCAGTGAAAAAGGCTTGCCACAAATTGCCTGTCAACGAATATGCCGCGTCTAATGCAGGGCGTTAGGAATACAACCATCAGCATGGGGTCCGGGTCCGGCGAACTGAACAGGGCCGCATTAGAGCACCAGTAGGCTATCACGCTTGGTAAGATGCTGGAAATACCTTAATTTAATTGTGCGAAACTGCGCAAAAATTAAGTAATGTTACGTCTTTTGAGGAATTTTTTTTTTTGGACTTAAATTGAAATATGTTGGTGTTGACTGTCTGGCCTAATACACAGCTCTTAATTTTCAAATATCACTTTTAATATATAACAAGATTCAGCTCTATAATTTACTTAAAATAAGTGTCATCTTATCGTTTATTGTGCTTTTTATAAAGCGCAGAGCAGCTTCAAAATCAGAAGGCCATCTTCTTGTCACCAAGCTTCTTTTGGAGCTTAATGGGTAGTCTAGTTCTAGTCTATACGTTGGGAGCTTAATACCGTTTTAAAGGGCCAAAATTCTCAAGACAGCAAGCTTGCAGAAATCAGGTACGTTTAAAAATGGACGAATTATGGATGGGTGAGGGGCTGTTTAATTGAACACCAACATAAGTAATCAAATTAAACATCGCATAAGTGTCTAAACGGCAGTGCTTTTTTTTCCTTTTCTATAAAATAAGCCTAACAGTCTGCGGTACCGGTACATGACGTCACGCGTGAGCGTTAACTTGGTGACAATGTGCTAAATGGGGGATGAAAAGGTGGGGTTCAAGAAATGCTACTCAGCATGCTTTTTACATTTCTTGACCCTTTTATTAGTTCTATCGTCCCCACTGACAAAATGGATCACCAATGAATGAGGCGTCATACTTCTACAGCTGGTCTTTCTCCCACAACCATCCCTTGTTTAGTTTCACCTAATAAAAACCTGACCTGTCTAAAAATCACATAGCTGAATTCTACTCAAACTCTCCCCACCACAATTTCTATCCGAATTAATATGTTCATCATTATATTTGTTCTGCAATAGTGCACGCTGTCATAACTCCGTAAGAGCGGCGTAATTTATTGGCAATATAATATTGATTTGATCACTGCAAAAAAAGTGTTCAAAAGTTTGACTTCCCAACAATTTTGGTGGTCTTGGATGCACACTCTTCAGTCTGAAAAGGTCTATTAGTCATTCATTTCAAGTATATTGAAAAAAAAAAAGAAAAATTACTATACAACCATATTAAACCACAAAATCAACACAACAGACATGCAAATAGACAATTTTTCAAGGGAAACTACTCTATTATTGTTTTCGAAACATGGCCGCTGATTGTATTTACTCATTTTTGTCTCGAACAGGGTTGTTTAAATTTTATTCCCGAATATTTTTGACTGGTTTGGTCATGGATTGTGATTTGTTATTCAATTATCTGTTATATTAAATATGTCATAAATATGCCCAAATGAAAGAAATATTCATTAGTTACCTCCACCGCACATTAGTAGTTTCGTTGGAATTTACAACGCTAAACTAAGGTTTTACAGATTTTTAGCGCAATTTCAAAAAAAGAAAAATTGCGTTTAATAATGCGTCATTTCTGGATGGATGGATGTGTGTCCACAGCGTGTCCGCAGCTTTAAGTGGTATCTCCTCCTCAACGAAGCAATATCGAGGACTAGTTCCAAAAGCAAATATGTTAAGCAAGTTCCGAGGATGAACATAGGCCAAAAAAATTCCTGGAATTCCTTTCTGGATTTCCCGGAAAAGCCAAAAAACCTAGAAAAAATGAAGTTTTTGGCCCATATCTCGGCAACCAGACCACTTAGCAACTTGAAACATTTACCAATCAATTCCTGCCATAATTTAGAACAATATTGCCAAAGAAAGTTTTCAAAAATATCCTTTCGTTCGGTCACAAAAAATTAATTTCTTCTAATTTGTATTGGCTAAGAATACTAAGAATATACAAATATTTCTACCACCCAAACCAAGCACACCGGCTGAGGCAGTTGCTAGACTTTTTATTAACTTGTTTTAGACCTAGAAATCTAGATCTAGAAATTCTAGGGCATTGTTTGTAATTCGACAATTAGACTCTAGCTATAATTTGCTAGCGTTAGTTCTTGTTTTGTGATTTCTAAATACTAAATACCCTATATTATATATTTAGCTCTAGACACGATAGGCTATACAAAATCATAATATTTAATGGAGGCAATCAAGTTGACGAGAATCCTTCCATCATATCATAATCATATTGTTGACACGGATTAAAAACACGGGGAGAATGTTTACACCGGTGTCCGATAATTAAATCTTCTTTAAAAAAAGAGTGTTAGGGTTGTTAATAGTATTGTAATCTCGACTAATTTTATGGTTAGAAATTAGGGTTAGGCGTATGTGCAGGAACTCTGTGATTGATTTCTGACAGCCCGTCATAGTTTTTTGTTTACAAAACTTTGCAGATAAAGTTTTTTAAAAAACAATACAAATTTAAACCCCACGAACTAGTTTTTTCACTTATAATGTGTACAATAAAATGTTTGCTAGCCTATCGAATAGCAAACAGCAGGGATATCTTGGGAGATAGTAAAATTAATAGCTGATGACCAGGCAAAATGGAAGGGTATATTCAAAGCCTTATGTTCCACAAGTAGCAAAGAGGACTATGTTTTCTGACTCATCATTTCGCCTTTCACTGTTAGTATTTTATCTCCACTCGAAAAAAACAAAGGTTAAACTTCTCACTTTACCTATATTTGTGATGACGCTTCTTACACAAATAAACCGGGAGTGATCTCCCCTAAACTTTCTCGAATATTCTTATATAAAATAACAGGGGATGGGAACTCTGGCTATAGACATGATTTTTAATCCATTTTAAATACTTAAAGTTTTAAAAATAGAATAAAATCTCGTAGACAAATTAATTGCACACCAAGTGAACGCCAAATAAAAAAGCGCATAATAGTGCGCAATATTATTAGTACTTTTAAAATTTACATTAGTTGTTTGAGAAATCGGAAGTAGCGTAAATTACTACTTCCGGTCAACGGAAATTACTCAAAATTTAACAGAAGGTAGAGAATTAGATCTTTTACTTACATGTGAAATTTCGTTTATCTATCTGAAATAGTACTCAAGTTATAGGCTTTTGAAAAATTCAAAGTAGGAAAAGTACCACTTCCGGTTATCGGAAATCGCTCAAAAGTTGATACGGATCTACGATTTTGATAAAATACTTATATATGAAATTTCATCAACCTAGCAGTAACGGTACTCAAGTTATCGTTTACACACGGACAGACAGACAGACACACAGACAGACACACAGACATACGGACAAGATTGCAAAATTATGTTTTTCCGTATCAGTGAGGTGTAAAACGTCGAGATTTGTAAAAATCTTGATATTTTTTTTGTGCACGATTACAAGACTTTCTCTATACTTCGTATATACGAGAAAGTAAAAAAACAGTTAAGTGGGCATTTTGTTCTCAGAATTAGTAAAGAACTAACTAATATAAAATTTATTGGGGAAAAATAGATATTCATAGTTAATTGCTTTTTTAAACTACTATTATTTTTACAATTTTGACATGAGATCAATGTGACATGAGTTGTAACTGGTTGTTGACACACCAATTTATTTAAGAAATTAAGGTACGTATCCTAATTAAATAAATAAATAATTTAAAAAGTCAATATAATATAAATTATGAGATATACTGTTCAAGGAACCTCTGTAGTTCTAATTCCATTTTAGTCATACATTGCGAACTTCCCAATATTTTCTCTGAAAACGGACTTTAAACAACAAACAACAACATTTTGTTCTAAAATTAGCATTACTGTTTAAATTTAACCACTCCACACCTCAGCCATCACTAAATAATTAAGTATTCAAATTCTCAAATGTTGAAAACCTAAGCAAAGCTAGGCAGTATGCCTAGTTATGTATAATTTAAAAAGTTGGGTTGCTAAAAAGGCATTTACCATCATATGTTGCCTTGAAATTACCCCAAGAATATTTTGTTGTAATTCCATCAATGTTTTCTTTTTTTGTTTTCCTTGTGTATAGGCCCAATAGAGGCAGACCAGGTATACGTGGTGGTATGAGAGGTCCAGTTCGGCCCTTTGGAGGACCTCCTGGTCCGTAAGTATGCTCATATTCATTTTAAAAAATCATATCAATTAGCTTAATTGTTTATAAGGTACTTAAAAGTTTTATTAGTCTTTGTTTATTAATTTAAAGCAGTGGTTCTTAACCTAGGTTCAATCGAATCCCACTGATTCATTCAATGATTCAGTCTCAGGGGTTCAGCTGAGGTCAAGACACACACCCCTCATATTATTTGTAATCAAATTTTGTCAGTGTAGAAAGTTCAGATACCTTAGATGTCATGACAAAGTGCTCCATATACACACTTTTTATTTCTATGTAGTGGTACAGTCAGTAGCGCAGCGAGGGGGGGTGGGGGGGACATATGTCCCCGGGCCCGACCTTAGGGGGCGCCAAAAAATAAATTGAAAGGTTGAGGGGGGTGTGAATTTGAAACTACCAATGCTGCAACTAAAATTTTTGTGCTTTAAAACACTATCAGTAGCACGTGAAGAATGATTATCCGCACCCACCTTTCCTCCTCTCTCCCCCCCCCCCCCCCTCCCCACCAGACGACAGTTTACAGACGGCAATGAAAAGATCAATCAGAACTTTGTTACCTCCCCTTAGTTTCAAATAGTTTTAAAACAAAATTATCTGCCCGAAATAGCTGTCACTAATTTGACCTGACTAAGATTGGTAAATATTTTGGCGTAAACCACAGCTCACCAGACTAGTGGAGGTGGGGGGGGGGGGGGGGGTGATAGAGATACGGTCTGTTGCGGATGTCTGGAGAACGAGGGAGGGGGCGGAAGGAGGATTAGATAGTTGGCTTGCATGTGTGGTGGTGTCCACGCAGAGAATTATATAAATAGATATGGATTACCATGCATAATTGAACTTGATGGGAGTCAGCGTCCTAACTGCTTGAATTGCATTGCCAAGCTGAGCAATTCTCATCTAGCACCGGCAAAACAAACTGAACACCTCCTTTATTGAATTCAAGGAGAAGCAGCTCATTTCTGAACTGGTATCTAAAAGGCAACAGCAGAAATCACACTGTTTTTGGCAGTAAATATTCATTGCGCTTTTGTCTTTTGTGTGAAAATCATATTTTAATAGTTTTGTTGTTTGAAAACACTGATGTTGATGCTTGGTTTATTTTGTGCACCGGTAAAGTCTAATGTATAAAGTTTAATTCTGTATGTTTGTTTGTGCAGGCAAACCATGGTTTCCATAGAAATATAAGAAAATAATCGTCATAGTGTAATACGTCTAAAGTGCTTAGTGTCTAAATTGGTTATTTAAAAAATTAATATTGAAGGTGTTGTAAAACAATTTTCATTTTTCAAACTAATAGTGATAAAATTTTAAAAAATGCATCAACTAACACAAAAATTCTAATTTGTCTGAAAATTATTTACATTAACTCCTTTAGCATTCATTACGTCCCTTGATAAATTAAGAAAACGCAATTACTTCTCTTTACAAAATCATTTCATGGGGTGGGGGGAATTTACTTTTAATTATTTTGTTTTGGTGTTGAAAAAAATTCATAATTAGCGGGGATTGATCAAGTGCAATGTGGTAGGTATTTTAAATACTGCCTTTAATTTATTTTATACACTGAACGTACTGTGTACTTATTATTTTTTTAAATCAATAATAGGTTAAAAAGCTAAATGTCCTCTATGTTTACTTCTTTCTGTTTGTGGGTAAGCTTGGGGTATTATAATTGTTCACTAAATTGAAACCCTAGCATGGTTCAATTTGGCGCCCTTGGCTATCCTATGATGCTATGGTGCATAATTTCGTTTTTAACAGTCTTAAAGTGAATAAAATCCGGGCGTCCTACAGCATCCCGACAGGGTGCTATTTTGTGCCCCGGGCCTTCCCTTGTTCGCTATGTTGCCTACGTTCATTTAAGTGAGTGCAAAAGACTATGAATAAGTTGGGTTACTATAGTCGTTACCTTAGCTGAAACATCCCGACAGGGTGCTATTTTGTGCCCCGGGCCTTCCCTTGTTCGCTATGTTGCCTACGTTCATTTAAGTGAGTGCAAAAGACTATGAATAAGTTGGGTTACTATAGTCGTTACCTTAGCTGAAACATCCCGACAGGGTGCTATTTTGTGCCCCGGGCCTTCCCTTGTTCGCTATGTTGCCTACGTTCATTTAAGTGAGTGCAAAAGACTATGAATAAGTTGGGTTACTATAGTCGTTACCTTAGCTGAAACATCCCGACAGGGTGCTATTTTGTGCCCCGGGCCTTCCCTTGTTCGCTATGTTGCCTACGTTCATTTAAGTGAGTGCAAAAGACTATGAATAAGTTGGGTTACTATAGTCGTTACCTTAGCTGAAACATCCCGACAGGGTGCTATTTTGTGCCCCGGGCCTTCCCTTGTTCGCTATGTTGCCTACGTTCATTTAAGTGAGTGCAAAAGACTATGAATAAGTTGGGTTACTATAGTCGTTACCTTAGCTGAAACAGGCGCCCTGGGCTAAGATGTGAGAACTTTTTTGTTTACTTTTGTGTTTTCTTTGTGTTTGGGTTGGGTTTGCGTTTGTGGTTGGGTTTGTGGTTGGGTTTGTGTTTGGATTTGGTTTGTTTTTGTTGGCTTTTTAATGCGTTTGTGTTTGTTTTCTTTGTGTTTGCGTTTGTGGTTGGGTTTTTGTTTGCGTTTGTGTTTTTGTCTGTATTTGTCTTTGCATTTGTGTTATGTTTGCTTATTTTTTGTGTGTGTTTTGGTTTTGATTGGTTGTGGTTAGGGTGGGCAATGCCGGGTATATGCTGATTACAATACGCACATGTCATGGTTCTTTACAGATAGGTTTTTCACAGAGGTCAGTGCAGGGCATGTCCGGGACAGCTAGTATAAGCATATGTTTTGAATTTTTTTAAAGTTTTATTTTTTTACAAGCTTTTATTTAACTCACTTTCTCTGTCTGTCGTCAGACTAGATCAAAACACCCGAGCGAAATTATGGGCACTTCTACTAACTGTCCGATATGGTTTGTAGTTTGTATGTAGGTCAAGACATGAAGACAATGCAACATGACATTAAATTTGACTTAATTGTTTGCCTGATAAATTTTTTATGAATTAATTAAAATTTTGTCCATATTAGTAGGCTGTCTCATCAAACTATTCCATGATATTAGACATGCGCCATCATGTTCAATAGGGCGTCATCACATTCAATATGTGCGCAATGGTTTTTAGTCATGTAACTCTATTGTAAATAAAACATGTAAAGTACTAAAATAAATTCATAAAAACGTTTTAATAACAAGCTTTTATGTAATAACTAGCCATCGGTACCCGTTTCACGTTAATTATAGGCCTGTATATTTTAAAATGTTGTACTTGTTTGAGAAAATAATTTATGATAAAGTTATTGGTTAAAACGAATGTGCTTTACTACAGGCTGAACGATATTAGTGACAAAGCAAAGACATAACTAATTAGCTAAAAATCCGACACATTTAACATAACACAGGCACACACTAATTAAGTGACTTAAATGATTCGGTTAAAGATCTAGCTATTCAATTGTCATTATGTTGTTTTTAAGTAATTTGTATTAGTTTGACCGATAAAGTTGTATATATTTCATAGCGTACGTCTTGATGAGTAGACCTATAGATCTAGATCAAATTTAAATGAAGTAGTTCCTTTCTTCATAGTATAAAATCGGAAGATTCACACATAAAAAAAAAAAATTAAGTTTGACTGGTTGTGTCCCGCACCATGGAGAATGAAACTTACGCCTATATGTTTATTCTTTCAAATTAATTTTTTTCATCCCAAATTAGCCAGTTCCATGGCTAAACAAACAAAGATTTCTATAAAATAATTAAGGCCTGAAATGAGTAGATAGTCTAAATCTACATCGTAGCGATTTAGCGTCTACGTCTAGTTTTTGCATAGATTTAGATCTAGATCTAGTTTAGATCTAGAATCCAAATTGATAAAATAAATTTTATAAATTTAGGTCGGAAAAATTGCATTGTATGCATTTCATAGCGTACGTAGATCTAAATCAAATTTGAATGAAATAGCTCATTTCTTTTTATTCTAACTTCGGCAGATGACGTCATTAGTTAATGTATAAACATTAGTGACGTCATTGTTTCATGGGTTCTTTTTCACAACTATAAACATGTTTCCTGTTTCATAATTAAAACTGTTTTTCTACATTCGAATATGCCTTTATTTTTTATTTTTCTTCTTTAAATGAAATGTTGGTTATACATTTAAAACATCTACTGTATTATTTTCAACCAAAGTCCGTATCAAAATCTCCATATATCGCTGAAGATTCTGATGTGATGTCCGGGTGAAAATATTTTGCGGACAGAGAGAGAGAGAGAGAGAGAGAGAAAAGTGCGCACATGGGCTTTTATATATTAGAATGCACTAAAAGTAGAAAATAAATTATAGACTACTATTTAAATAACTATTAAGAAAAGCGTGGGTCTCTTCCTAAATATACAACTTCTATCATGAAATAGAATTAACTTTATTATCAAACACTAATACTATACAATATCAAAAACACGTCCTTTTCCTACAATGGCTAACCCCCAAATGTCTTCACTCCTGCGCCCTACGTCATCGATAACATTGTTGCGTCACGCTCATGTCACACCACAAATATTTTATTAAACACGTACACATACTCTGGGACTCTACTTCACCTGCCCTGTATCCTGCCAATCAATCACATCCTTATATTAGCTATATATCGAAAAAAAAATTGCCAAACGACTCCCCCTTGATATTTTGTGAGGTCATAAAGAACGCCTAAGGGTTTCAGAAAAAACTCGCCATAGCCAGGAAAAATCTAGAAATGGGTTAAAACTGACCAGTTGTTATCTTTGTATTTATGTAAAAAACACAGGGTAATGCAGCAAAGATTTTGGGGTACATCAGGCTAATTTTTTGCATGCACCTAAATAAATGGTTAGTCCTATGGAAAATCTGATGGTTTGACTCAAAGCCCTCGACGAGGGCTAAAAGATGACCCTAAGTGAAATTCTCCTTATATGAGCTATATATAAAAAAAAAAACTTCTGCCGACTGACCCCCCTTGATATTTTGTGAGGTCTTAGAATGCCAAGGTGTGTAAGAAAAAACTCGCCATATCCGGGAAAAATCTTGAAATCTTGAAAGAAATCTTTGTATTTATGTGAAAACACCGGGTAATTTCGACAAAGACTTAAGGGTACTCACCCTCTGTACGGAAAAACTATTGGTCAGACTCAAAGCCCTCGACGAGTGCTAAAAGATGAAGTGAGTGAAATTCTCATTATATGAGATATATATTAATAAATTGACGAACAATTCCCCTAATATTTTGTGAGGTTCTAGGCCAACCCTGGAGAGTAACAAAAAACATTCCCGTCGGAAAAACCATTTAGGGTTGTTAGATTTGTCCAGATGCCGTATTTTCTTACATAAACAATTGTTTGTGAAAAAGTAAACAAAGACTACGTCATTTGGTCTATGTACAGGGGAGGTATCATTTTAAAGTAATCATTTTTAATTTTCATACTTTTTAAAAGAAAAAGAAAAAAATCACAAAGTATAGCATTTGTTTAAATAGATGTTTTGTAATAAATCAAATTATGTATTGTACTGAAATTGTAAAAATTAATTGTGTAAGTGAATACAATATAATGTTTGATTTACTCAATTAAGTAAGCCTTTGCAGTTTTAATAACCTTGCCAGTAATTAGTTTGCGAATACTCCACCAATATTTGCACAACATGAAATTACTCAGACTGTTTAAACTTAGGCCCTAAGCATTCCAGATAACAGCCAATTACCAATTAATTAATCATTCAAATTCTCAACAGATTTTGAAAACCTAAGCCAAGCTAGGCAGTATGCCTAGTATTTGAATAACTCTAACTTGTTTTAGAAAACAAGGTCACACGTTTAACCATGTTGACATGAGTAATACAAAGAAATATTCTTTATATAAATAATGTAAATTGTGAAATATAATTCAATTAGTTTGATTTTTCTGGGACATTTTGTTTATTGTTATTTTATTTTTTCAAAACAGATTTCGACCTTTTATACCACATATTCCATTTGATCTTGTTCAGGTTGGTGTTTATATTTCAAAACTAGTTTTTGTAATGCTTTTAATTTTTTTTACTAAACTAATGTGAAAGCAATTAAAATCAAGCTTATCTCTAAAATGAAGCAAAAGGTTTCACATATTATCTCAGCATTGTCAATTATGAAAGTGAATGTACCATTGAAATTAAAACATGCACCTTTAAAACCAAGCAATCCTTTGTAGCCATGCTAAAACATGTCGATTGAGGAAAATCTCCAAGACCAAATGCAGAATTGTGAAAGCTGGAAAGTAACCCCAGCTAACATTCAATCTACAATGATAGGTTACTTTGAGAAGCTGTTTCACAAGTAATTGGGAAAAAATGCACCATGGGGGGGGGGGGGGGGGCATGTATTACGGATGAAATCAGAGAAAATTACAGCAGCTGTGCTGAATTGGAGAAAGGAAAAGAAGACGCACAGCAGAAAAACAACTGACAATCTAGGCAACTGCAAAGATAGTTGCCAGAAATCAGCAGAAGTGGAAAGAGCTTCCTGTGACAGCATCATAGGCAACAATGTGAACAGATAATGATGAATTCTAAATCATCTAAATGTCTTAAAGTTTTAATCTAAACCCATGATTTAACATCAAAGTATTTATATTTATGATGATTACTTATTCTCGCCAAACATTAACTGTCATGTCGCCTATATCTATCAATTTAATTTAGTTTATAATAAGATTTTTTATAATAAAACATGCATATTTTTTGTTTTCAGTGTGAAAATGCTTTTCCACGTGCTAAGCCAGTCCCTGAAGAAAAAGCTCTAACTGATGTAAGATAATTTGTCTCATTCCTATGCTGGTATTCTAAAATATTAATTATAAATGTTTAGTCGCATGGTCATTTCACAATCTACTATATTTATCTTTAGAGTTTAAGCTAATAGCTGAAATTATCAATTTACACATTCTTATATATTGTGGCACAAATACCTAACTTACAAACCAGTTAAAATGCAGCTATTAAAAAAAAAATTTGATATCTGACATGACAGAAAGAATAAAAGTTTTGTTTTTGTCTATTTTGCTTACAGATGAAATAATGATTTACTGCTTCTGGAGTATTTGTAGTAATGAATGCCAATACAAATTTTATATGGTGTCTAAATCACATATTTATTTGACTATTGATTCGTATTTACAACAGTTAAAATATTTTGTCTTCAATGAATTTTTTTTATAAATATCCCATTAAAGGTGATACTAACAACTATAACAATTAAACAGAATTAGAGGGCTTCAAATTTACTTTTTAATGGTATTAAGCTTATAACTATATGCGTCCTTTTTAATATAAAAAATATGAAGTGAAAAGCTACAAGAATAGGGCGACAAAATCAAAAACCACTTTTTTTTAGCTGTTTGACATACCTAATTAAACCAGAACATCTAGTAATTTAATTTATATGATTGTATGAAGTGTACCGGTTCATATCCAACTCAAGTTCGTTTTCACCCTTTGCTTAATTTTCATTTTGCAACACCTCTTAAACTTGCATTTCTCTACTTTCTTATACCAGTTTATTTACACTTTGATGTATGAAGAACTTGACTTGCTTGTATTTATAAAGGTCATGTTTTGAGTAGCCTATATAACTTGTTTAATGCCCCTGTTCACAATGATGCCATTTTTATGTGTTTAAGACAAAGCTTTTGTTTTTGCTGCCCAAGCAAGCACATTAATAAAAGAGCATCTGCTAACACAGATTTATATAAACTATCATGGGTGCAGGTCAATTACCAGAAAGTCTATTGCCTTTAAAAGTTTCATTTTAAACAACGCAACAATTTGTCTACACACTGATACAAAAAATTACTTACTTTTTTGTACTTACATTAATGCACTTCAAACTCAATAAATACCTGTAGTGAAATATTGTACTACAAATTATCAATTAGCCTACACTTTTTTGTTAACATAAACTGCATTTTGTCTTTTAGAATCATCATATTTGTTGTTAAAAAACTAAAGCATTTCATTTAGTAAGCTTCATTGTTTAAAAAAACTAATCTTGAATTTTTCTAGCCATTGTCAGCTTATGTGCTTCAAAAATGTTTCCTCTAGTTTGTTAATTAAGCTAAACTGTGTCCTAACTATTCATCTTCATTAACTCATTATTATGGTAATTTATTGGTTTGAAAAATTCTTTTATAAAACATTACTTGATGCTATGCTATCTATTTTAACTGCTTATGCCAATTTTGTATTTTTTTATGCCTTTTGTGAGGTTTTCTTATAATAAATTAAAATGCAGAATAGGTAATTTACTATTTTTAAAGTTTTAAAATTGTATTAATTTATTGTAATGAGAGGACCTCACATTGCTGCAAAGAAAATTTTAGTAGCTGTTTACTGTTTTTTTAAAAAAGCATTCATCTAATTATTACCAGGCATTGCTAAAGCGGCACACAGATTTGACACCATCTTCAGCTGAGCAGGCTTCTATCTTGGCACTTGTGACAAAAGTTCAAGGAATTCTAGACAACCTTGTTATTGCTCCCTCTGGCTTTGAAGCAGCTGTAAGTATTTTTTTTTTTAAATAAAAAGTAAACTTTAAAAAATCAATTTTGAAACAAGTATTACAAATAATAAACATTTAACCTAAATAGCATTGTTAAAACAACAACCTTCAACTCCCAAATTTGTTTAGTAAAAATGCTGAAATGCTTCTAAATAAGTTGCTATAAAAGTAAGATTCTCATAGGTTTTTAGTAAGTGTAGTGTTGTATGATGTACTAGCAATATTTCTGATCTTGCTATTACAAATAGCAAACATACAGAATCAACAAGGTAAAAGGTAATGGAGGCGAGCGAGTTGACGAGATTCCTTCTATAATGTTGTTGACATGGAGTAAAAACGTGCTTTTTAGATTTAGACCGTAAAAAAAAATAAAAAATAAAAACTTAAGCCTAAAATTAATTTAGAAATTTTATATTTTTAGAATAAATGCTATAAAAGTTGCAAATCCAGAGAACTTGAAAATAATTTGTTGAGTTTAAGGCTACATTTCTATTTATTTTTATCAAGCCTAAGTTATAACCGGATGTTTCACTTTCGTAAGACAAATATTGATTGGCTGTACAGTAACTTAGTGATCGATAACTATTTGTTTACAAAACTTTGCAGATCAAGTTTTTAAATTACAATGCAAATTTAAAACCCCATGACCTAGTTTTCTATTTTTAGCTTACAATGTGTACAATAAAATCAATGGCGGCCTATCCAATAGCAGGATGCCATTGTTTATGTCGCCATTACACGTGAAAACCAAATTGTTTTTGCTTTTTTTTTAAATTTTATTTAGTTACCGAAAATATTAAAAACATCAAATACGTCCAATCTTTAGTAAAGTCCAAAAATAACCAGAAAGACAGGATTTTATAACCATATTAATTGTAACTACGCCGTGCAAGATTTTTAAATTAATTTATGCACCTCTCAAATACCTTTGAGACTTTTCTCGCTCGTGTCCATTAGAAAAACAGATAGTTGAGATAGATTTATAGAAATTACAATGTTCTTAGTAAGCCTACACATAAGACCTTATTGTTTATTATTTATTATTATTTATTTTTTAGTGTAAAAAAGCAATTGAATGCAACACACATATTGAACACAAACAATTAAACACCACATGTCAAATTTTATGTCACATTGCATTTTGTCTGCAGACCTTGACCTTCATGTCAAGTTAAAAACAAATAAATTATGTAGAAGTGGGTGAAATTATTTTTGGAAGTTTTTGTTTCATGTGAATCAACTGACTTGAGCTTACAAAAGATGCTATTAATGCTAATCTTTTTCAGTCACTTTGATTCACTTATGCTTAACACTGTTTACTCTACACTCCATCTCTAAACTTACCAGAACTTAAACTTCACATAATTGAACCTAAATGTTACTTTAGGTTTTGTTGCTTTTATTTAATTGTTGTCACTGCTTGTCTTGCAGCTATTCTATTTTTGTCATGCCTTCCTTACTTTTCAAGGTAGGCGGTTAAAATAAACCTGTCTGAGGAAGTTTTATTTTCCTCCCTTTCAAATTTTTTAGAAAAGAGCTATATAAGGGTCATTTAATAGCCCAGTTGCACAATCAGTTGCAACTTTTTCCACTAACTATTAAGCCCACTGATCTGGTTACTCATATTTCTTTATTCTTTTTCGTATGTCAAAACAAATTTTAGGTCGCTCAACAGTTTGTATCCAAAAAAGTCATGTATAAGAGGTACCACTGTAGTGGTACCTCAAAATGCATGATTTTCTAAAAAAAAATAATGTCATTATAAATGAGACTCTTTTATAATACATCCCTTAAAGCTTAGTTATTATTTTATTTTTCCATTTAAAAACAGACCTTAGAGGAAGTTAGACAAGTTGGGTCTTTTAAAAAAGGGACTATGTTAGCCGGACATAATGTAGCTGATATTGTTGTAATGTTCAAAACATTACCTACAAGTAAGATACAATTTTTTTTACTTTTTAAATTTTTTTCCAATTTAATTTAACATTTAAAAATTATTTTTTTAATAAAGCGTTTAGCAAATTATTTGAAATTCTGGGTTTAAACTAGCTATTTTGCATAAATTAATATTCATTTTGATTTTTTAGAGGAAGCTGTAACTGCACTTGCAAATAAAGTATCAGATGAAATAAAATCTCAGGAACCGCAGGAAGGTAACATCTACTCATTTTGAATTAGTTTAAGTATAATTTAAGAGGGAATCATAATAGCACCCAAAATTGAGCAGTTTTGGTTTTATGATCAGTAAATTTATCATTCAGCTAAAATATTTTAACTAATTTTGTTATTGTTGAATAGAATTTCCATAGACATATTTTTTCAAACTATAGAAGCGGTGCCTCCACGAAAAAGAGTAGCACAGAATTTACCTAAAACAGGTATTTGTATGTTAGTTTTCTAATCTATCTTTGTAAAAGAGCTTCAAATTATTTTAATAAAAAACTTGTTTTTTTTTTTTTCATTTTTGTCAATTTAATTTCCTATGTAGAAATATTACTCTTTCAATTAGTAATTTACGGTGTTATGATAAGCACCCATTAAGAACTGCTCTTAAATATTTTCTCTGATTTACTTAGTTTATTTTCCTTTCTATGGCAGAGAGAAATGTTTGACAGATATATTTATACGAGCCGACCCGCGGCATATCATACGCCGCTATTTAGTTGTTGTTTATTCTACTTTTCAGTTATTCATAATTTGTGAATTCGACACTACCAACGCTGCTACTGAAAATATTTCTTTAAAACACTATAAGTAGCTTGTTAAGGACGATAACACCCCCCCCCCCCCCCCCCCTTCTCCGTTAAAGTAAACTCCACTTAGTTACCCCCCCCCCCCCTACGCTTCAAATCGTTTCAAACTAAATTATCTGCCCCTAATAGTCGTCACTAAACCCGGCTGTTTGTAAACATTTAGAGTGAACCACAGCTCACCAGACCATGTAGGGGTGGGGCTGGTAGGGAGCGCGTTTACAGCTTGTTTTCTAGCGTCTCCCAGAAAATTATATATATAGATATATATACCTATACATATATATATATAGCCTATATATATATATATATATATATATAGGGCCTATTTATATATATAGCCTATTTATATATATATATTGCCTATTTATATATATATATGTAGCCTATTTATATATATATATATATATATATATATATATATATATATATATATATATATATATATATATATATATAATAATAAAAAGTGTTTGGGTCTGTTTGTCTTTTTTATGCAGTACTACACATTTCATCTTGAATCTTTGGGAAGTTGATGGGAATACTGTGTTTTAAATTTGGTTGGGCGGCACCCCAGCAGGGTGACATTTGGCACCCATAGTTCTCCAGAATCCCCCTTGAGTATTAAGGAGCCTCCATTTGTTATTAACCAGTGCTTTTCTGTGGGTTATTAAAATCAGAGACTAAATCAAGCAAGGGCCATCATCCAAAGGCCAGGCAGTAGAGAACTGTTTGGCGCCCCCATTTCCCAGCAGCTACCTGAGCACATATGGTGTGTTGATTGGGCATCTTGCACAGGGGTCTGGATTACAACTCATTATAGCTGTCAAACTGCAATTGGGGCAGCCTAAGGCATTCCGCCAGTCTTTTGACACAGTACCCTGGTCTCTCCTATGAACACTATGGTGCCTATATTTGTTTAAAATAGCCACATCTGATGGGCTTCTACATTCAAAGTCTGGAATTCAATTTTAGAATTGCTATCACTGGGTTAGTTACAACAAATAGTTCAATAAACTCTAACAAGGAGGCCTTTGATCCATCCAAACATTTTAAAAAGTTTAAAAGTATAATATTGCTGATCATCTGTTTTAATGAAGGTTATAATAACAGTTCTTCTTTCTCTAAATTTTACCAGTTGTAGCTATGTTGCCTAATGAATCAGGATTTGAAGTGGCCAGTGGAGATGCTGCAGTCCAATGTCTCATCACAACTATTCCTCCAAATTTAAAAAAATTGGACCCAGAATTGCATTGTAAGCCATTAAAAATGTTTGCTATACAAATATATTTTATTTAACTTACATTAACTAGCTTGGCATATGTATTTTGAAAAAGATACTAAAAATTCAACCCAAAATATAACCCTCGTTCTATAGTTAATATAAACACCAAACTTAATATTTTATAATAATAAAGCGGGAGTGATCTCTCCTACATTTTCTCGTTAATTACATTTTTAAATGGAATAGAATAAAGAATTGCTCACCAAATGTACAATAAGCAATGTGTGTATAACAGAGCGAAAAACTAGTGCTTTATAAAGGAAACAGTGATTAGTTTTTAAAAAGTTAATTAAACATCTAACTCCACCAAATTTTTTGTCACAATGCATTGTCATAGAGTCTAGACAGAGGTGAAAATTTTTGAAGAAATCAGAAATAGTAAAGTAATACTTCAGTTGACCGGAAATCATGCAAAATTTGAGAAAATGTTGGGAACAAGATCATATACCTACATTTAAATTTTTTCCACCTAACTGAAATGGTACCCAAGTTATTAGTATTATAGAATCCAGAAATAAAGTACCACTTCTGTTTATCGGAAGTGTCTATAAAATTGAAAATTTTCCAAGGATAAGATCTTGTACTCATATACGAAATTTTGTCTATAAACCTGGAATTAAGTTATAGTCTTCACAAGGAAATAAAGTACAACTTCTGGTTACCTGAAATGGTACATTTGGCAGAAGCATGCTCATACAATGTATTACTTATATGTGAAATTTCATCCATCTAAGACAGGGGTCTCCAAACTACGGCCCGCTGGTCGGGTGCAGCCCGCAAGGTCATTTTATCCGGCCCGCGACGATCTTTTTGTCCACTGAAAACATGTTTGTTGGAGGTGGCTGAGGAGCTTTGCACAGAAAATTCAAAACAATTTGAAAATGTAGCTTTATGTGCAAATACAATTACTCGCCGTGTTGCAGGTATTGGTGAAAACATTGCGACTCAAATAGCGAAAAATTCAAGCAAGTTTCGCCACTTTTCAATTGCAATGGATGAGTCGCTGGACAACTGTTCCACCTCTCAACTTCTTGTGTTCATTAGATGTGTGGATGAAGACCTGAACATAACACAAGAGCTGGCTTACTTACATAGAATGTATGACACTGTTACCGAAGAGGATATCTAACCATAGATAGTTTAGAGACAAAACACAAAATCGCAAGATTTACCATATTTCACATCAGTAAGATTGCTAATTTTGCGAGAAAATTCTGATAAGAGTATCTAAGAAAAGAAATAGGTGACTTCCTGATAGTAAAGGCAAGTCACAGCCATAATTGTCTGATGAAGGGTGGGTATAGAAATTGGCCTCTGCTGCAGACATAACTAGACATTTAAATTTTCTGAACCTATAATGGCAAGAGAGTGAAATCTAGTTTCTGATCTATATACCCACCTAAAGGCCTTTAGATACAAACTTGTCATGTTTTTGGAACAAGTACAGGCTAACAACTTGACACACTTTTAGCAGTACAAGGTCTTTACGGCTGAAGCTACCACTGAGTTCCCCACGTCATTTACATGCGAGATGATTAAAGAACTCCAGCTGCAGTTTCAGTAGCTGTTTTCTGACTTGGATTCAAAGGCAGAAGAAGTGAGAGTGTTTCAAAACCATTTGAAGCAGATGTGGCCAGTTGTCCAGATGAACTGCAGCTGTAGGTCATTGAATTGCAAGAAAATGACTTCCTTAGAGACACGTTCAAAGAAGGGCAGATGGGTTTTCATACGTTTTTGCACAAGGAAGACTTTCCTAATATTAAAACTTTTGCATCAAAGTACCTTTCAAATTTTCAAACAACATACCTGTGTGAACAAACATTTTCAAGATTGAAATACGTGAAGAACAATTTGAGAGCAAACGTGGATCTCGGGTTGGGGGGGGGGGGGGGTGACACATGTAATTCGTATATATTTCAATATATATTATATTTTGTTGGGGGGAGGGAGGGGCAGTAGACGTTCTTCGGGGGTGGGGGGGGGCACGACCCTGTAGAAATGCCATAAAGAAACTCTGCCCCCGAACTGATATTTGATAGTTAATCCGGCCCTCGGGCTGAAAAGTTTGGAGACCCCTGATCTAAGATAAAGTGCTCAAGTTATTGGCTTTTCAGAAACCAGAAGTTGAGTAAGTACCACTTCCTTTTACTGGAAATTGTTCAAAAGCTGATACAAAACTACAAATTTGACATAATACCTATACATGAAATTTCGTCAACAAAACAAACAATACTCAAGTTATTGTGTTTACAGACAGATAGAGATACACACAGACATACTGACAAAATTGCTAAACTAAGTTTTAGTTACAATATTATCTCATAGTTACGGGGAAAGCAGTATTGGATTATTTAGAATTTTTTCGCCAATTTTCTAATTTTACTGTTTTACAAAGTTTTAGTCAAAATTTTCTGCTATTTTCAGTTAAATTTTTTTAGAAAACATGGAACAATGTTATCTAAAATAATGCCCAGAGAGCTTTACTACTTGTTTCCAATCCGAAAATCCTCTTTTTCCATCTGAGAAAAAGTTTTGGCCGGATAAAAATCAGAATATCCTATTAAAAAATATCAAGTTTCAGCTGACCGACTTTTTTTCAAAAACATCGGACATCTGTGCAGTCGATTATTTTTTCCGTTTTGCTACTCATATTCGAATGGTCGCAACTTAGTCTCTTGCTTTATGTGTGTTTTTACCATCTATTATTGTGTGGCTGTCTGGCTACGATATGGGTTGGGGGAAAATTTGGCTTGTTAACATAACGTCATTTATGTAGGACCCTTAGGCTGCGCCTTATACATAACTTTACCAATGTGTTCCTTTATAGTTTTATCTCTAGCAGAGATGTAACTTTTCAATTTTTATCAAACGGCTTTTTCCTTTAATAAAAAACCGCAAAAAGCTTTTGCGTTGACCTAGACTTTGTTTCTCTTTCTATTTTGTATTGACAAAAAGAAAAGGCAATTGATTTGAAATACGGAATAGAAATGTGCCGAGAAATGCTCTGTTCTCGTTAAATCACTTTTACTTCACCCACTTTTCATGATCGTGCTTACCGTGAGGCCTACAATGCGATACAGCGCAAGTGCATTCTGTAAGCACTTTTTGAAACATCTAATTTTAACATGGTTATTTTTACTCAATTTAAAAAGAAAAAACAACCCCCACTTGATCTACGTCTTAATTTTTTATACAAAATACTGATGTGGGCATAGTTACGACAGATCACGGCCTAGATCTAAAGGTCTCTAAACTTTCATAAAAATCCTTGAAAAACCTTGAATAGTGGGTCTCTATTAGATCTATTAGACACCTTTATGAAAATTTAAAAAGCTACCGACGCTTTTCTTAAGTTATTTAACTTGTGCTGTATTATCATATATTTTAAGAAAATAATTTATTTTCCCCTTTTTTAGTGCATTATTACATACAAGTTTTTTATGCAATTTTTTTTCAGTACTTATATTTTTTTAATACAATAGAGTTGCATGACTAAAAACTATTGCTCACCAGAAGGACATAAAAATGCATGTACAATAGTGCAGTAAATGGTAGTAAGACTACTAATTTCATGTAATATAAATTAATGGTAACTCTTAATGGCATTAAAATTTGTCAATTAAACAAGTTTGGATATTAACTATAAAAATAATAAGTAACCATATTTTAAAAAATTAGAGTAAGAAGTTATAAATTATGAAAGTGTGTTCAAAAGCTCAAGATTAATAGGCCTATTTAAATTTTGTCAGCTGTGTATAAGCAATTAGGATGCGTTTACTGCATTTCTATGCATGCATCCTAATCTGAAACTTCTGAACACAAAATATTGTCTTGAATATGGAATGGGTTGCGGTTTTGTGCCCAGCGACCCAGTAGTTGATTCATATCCCCATATCATGTATAGTATTCATGTAAGTAGGACAAGCCCTTCATACATGTCGTAAGGTATATTGATTATTAATGGCCTATAACTCAGAATTTTTAAGTCCAATGTAAATGGGTTCTGTGCCTATGTACTAGATTGGGTTGAAAAAACACCATGACCCAATACCGTAGCCCAATTTGTGTGCTGAGGGCAGATATTTAAAAATGAAAATGGGTGGATTACAATATTTATGGTAAAGGTTTTAACCTAGAGCTAAAATGTTTCCCCTTTTTTTAAAAAAAATGTTTGGTACTTCAATAAAATATTTTAATAATACATATATTTTATCCAACTTTAGTAGATGGAAAGATGATGAACAGCCGTTTAGCTGCAATTCGACATGCACGCTGGTTTGAAGAGAACGGGCAACATTCTAGTGTTAAAGTTCTTATTAGGTTACTTAGAGATCTCAAAAACAGGTTTGAGGGAATTTCACCACTGACACCTTGGATTATTGATTTATTGGTAATGTTTTCTTTAAACTAACAGTATGCTCTAAAATGACTTTTTTGGAAACCTTTAAATATTTTATGAATGTATATTTTGTATAAAATAACAGTTAAAACGTCCTTTTATTTAAAACTAGGGCATTTAAGGCATATATTTTTAAAATCGCTTACTTGTTTGCAAAATATGTCTCATAAAAAAGTTATATGTCAAAAGACTATGTGCTTTACTATATGTTGAATTATATCAGTGACAAAGCAAAGAAATAACTAACTAGCTAAATCTGACACATTTAATATAACATAGCCTACCAATACCTATTAGAAAAATTAAAACCAAATGATCTACATTATCAGTCAGCACAACACCATATTAAATGCCTACACTGATTAAGTGACTTCAATGATTCTGTTAAAAACCCGGCTATTCAATGGTATTTTTGCTTTTTTTTTTAAATTATTATTTTTGGCAGAGAAAATTGTATATCCTACGTCCTGATAAGTAAATCTATAAATCTAAATCAAATTTGAATGAAATAGTTCATTTCTTCATGTATTCTAAAATAGGAAGATGTGGAGAGCAAATCATATTGAAGATGACGTCATTAGTGTAGTGTATCATTTTCAACAATCTATTTTTAATCCTATTTTAGATCCTGTAATCAATGACGCCATTAGTGTTGTGTACTTTCCATAGTTTAAACTTTTTATCAACATTATTTCATAATGCTATTTTTCTATTTGTTTCACGTGACATCATTCTCCTTGTAATTGATAGTTTTTGTGTTACTTATATGTTCTCTAGAGCGTTCTCGTCACAACTATAAACACTTATCCATTTTCATAATTAAAGATGTGTTTCTACAATTATTTTTATTTTCGATCTTTAAATAAAATTTAGTTTTGTTTATACATTTTGTACATCCAACATATTATTTTCAACAAAAGCTTGTATCTTTAAGTTCTCCATATTTTGCTGAAGATACCGATCTCATAGCCTCAGAAAATATGTGACGGACATAGAGAAGTGCGCCGATAGGCTTTAATATGTTAGGATAAAATGATGACTAGGAGGTTTATGTTTAAAGACATGAATAAACTGTGTAAAATGTCACATTATCATTAAGAACTAGTCAGGCCACATCTAATGAACCATTTCTTTCTTGGATGTTCTAAAATGCAAAGATAAGGTTATTATAAACCAAAATTATATGGTTAAGTAAATCCCTGTCAGTGTTTCTTCCAGACTTACTTTTTTTGGTGGGGGGGAGGGGGGGGGGGTGATGACAGACACTGGTAAAAGTATATATTTTCAATATAAATGTCCATTTAGAGGGAGGGGGGTGTAGGCTGTCGAAAATTAAAAAAAACTATCTAAAAAGTAGTTTTCTGTAAACTATTATGAAAAATCCTATAAATTTTTTCTCTTATTTGAAGGCTGTGAACCTAGGCTCCTGAGTATTAAAGAGAAGTAAAATAAAAATGATATAGAAAAAATACAAGCAAACAAGTGGTTTGAATAAGATACTAGATCTACCTATCAACTAACACAAATATTGCCCCTATATGTGGTGACAGAGAATTTTTTTTTAAAGATGATTCAAAGAATAACCTCAAGTATAATGTAGTATAATAAAATATCTTTCCACAAAATTGTACTAAATGAAACTATGGGAGTTAGAATTTGTATTTTTGTGCATTTTTCTGTGTGTGCATTTGTCTAAACAATATTTTTCTCTGAGAACTGCTATCATTAGCTCTAACCCTAACATTACCATAACATGTCCAGTACTTTAGACAGGGGTAATAAACTGCTTCAAACAAAAACATAAAATTTATTTTATGAATTTTGTTTTATGTAAATTTCACATTGATCTTGCAGTTCTTTTTTGGGCAATCCCTTTTTGGGTAAAAGGTCTTTTGGGGTATTATCATTCAGATAATTTCTATTCCGGCAATATCCATTTAGGCAATTAGCCTTTCTGTAATTGGCTCTGGTGCAAATTGTTAAAAACTTTTGGAGAGTTGTGTTAGCGGCCTAATTCCAAAGGGGGAATTTTGAAGCAGTTTTCTTATTTCCTACTGATTTAATCTTTGGTTGGTGTGAAATATTGCTATTTTTCAAATAATGTGTGTTAATATTAGTCTAAAAAAATAATTTCAGGCACATTTTGCAGTGATCAATAATCCTTCACGTCAACCACTGCCCATAAATCAAGCATTCAAGTAATCCTCATTTTAAATTACATTCAATAGTTGTAGGTATAGACAAATGTGTTGATTTATCATTTTTATAAGAGTACACTTTTATTGTTATTTTAATCTTTTTATTTTTAGGAGAGCACTCCAAATGTTGGCTGCAGGTTTTTTTTTACCAGGATCTGTTGGCATTACAGATCCATGTGAGCAGGGAACTATCAGAGTCCACACAGTCATGACTTTAGAACAGCAGGTTAGCTTCACTTTAATGCTTTGAAAAATAGACAAATTTATAAGTACTCATATCTAATTTGTAAAAAATATTAACTTTAAAAATTTGTAGTTTACATACCAATACAATAGCATTTGAGGAATGTGTTAAATATACAGGGCTGACTTTTTATATTATTTTGCCCGTTGTATAATATTACTAAGATATGGATCTCCTTATATATTTTGACACCTAAGGTGGAAATAATAATTATGCTTAACCTATTTATTTATTCCTGGCTTTTGCTCAAAAGAAGATACTGATAATTTTCATTATGGATGTAGACTGGAGCCTCGAGAAAATAGGTTGGCTAATAAATCTGCACATGCACAAACTGTATTTACCTATCTGTATAGAACTGTAATGAAACGTTAAAAAATGAATTGAAATAATTACTCTGAAGATAAAGAACTAGCAAAATATATAGTAAAGTTAATTCATCTACCATTTATAAAAAGTACCCTTTCAAACCTTACTGTCCATAGTTGTTCACTAAATTGAATCAGGTGCATCCGCCAGCACCCCTGGCTACTCTGTGAGCTGCATACTGTCTACCCTACCGTGCCCCGACTAATATTATTTAAGAAAAATAGGGCAGGCATTGTTTACATTTAAATAACTCACTGTTAGAAAACATTCTTCTTTAGACCTAGTAATCGATTGGGCTAATGAAGTAGAGTTCATGTTTCTTGACCTTATCATATGAAGGGATGGTGTGGTCAACACTATTTCCAGATGTCTTAACTTCCCCCAACATAAGTCAAATGAAAACTGTCAATATACACTTACTCCTGAGTTATAATTACCTATACTTTTAATTTATTGTTCAACACTTTTACAGGATCAAGTTTGTTTTACATCCCAAACTCTGTTGCGAGTACTTAGTCATGGAGGTTACAAACAGATCTTAGGAATGGAGGGCAATGCCAGTAAGTGTTTTAAAAAAAACATTATCTTTTTTTGAAAAACAACTTTCTTAACTCACTTTCTTGTTAACTTTATATTATAAAAGCAAACGAATTTATAAGAAACCTAGAATTCTAACATCCTTTAATATGAGGTTTGGGACTCAATAACAATGTGTTAGATCATAATTATTTCTGTAAATGTTCTAGCCTTAAATCAATGTTGTAATGTTTTCTTACAAAAAAGTTGCTGAAAATGCTAGAATAGAAATCTTTTTGGGCAAACTATTCTTTTCTCAGTTAATAGGCTCAATGTTACTAGCCTTTGTCTACCACACAATTAAAAAATAAGGTATGTAACTAATACCAAACTGTAAGGGGAAACAGGCATAGCAACCCATTCCAGTGCCCAGGGCAATCTTTCAATATATATTTAGATCAGGGATGTGACTTTATCGATTTTTTAATGGAAATCTGATTTTTCCGTTTCAACTGCAATTTTCCCCCGCTGAGTTTATTTTTGCCAAATTTTTTCAGTTAATTTCCAATTTTTTCCTGATTTCTTTTCAAAGTTTTAAAAACGTCAAGATTCAGAATTTTGACGGATTTACCAATTTTTTAGAGCGCACATTTTTTTAGTCCAATTTTTCCGCTGATATTTTCAGTTAAATATTTTTCAAAAACATGGGAAAAAGTAATCTAAAATGATGCCGTTCTCCAAATGAAACTTACATCTCCATAGCCTGGTAATCTAGCTATCGATATAGCCTAATTTATCTATCAGTATTTTAATCTGCCCAAATCTACAGTTTCTCTAGGATTCTTTTTTATTTCGCAATCTCAAATTAATATTGAAATCCTTGCAAAAGGTGACCTCCTCCCCCCCCCCCCCCCCCCCCCCCACCCCGCCTTGTAGAGACGGTGGCATTTGTGTCCTCACCATGACCCCCAAGTATGTGTTTGGTACTGCTTGTTTGGGGGAAAAATAAAAATGACATCACAGTCAATGTCACATAGCTGTTCCTGCAATACATATGCTATAGGCTATTACAATAAGCCTACAGATTTAAAAAAAAACTGAACTCATCGTGACCCTGACTGTAGGGAAGAAAAAATATGTTACCCACTGTTTTTAAAAATGGGTCTTCCATAAAGAACGTCATCCTCGTAGGGGGGGGGGGGGTAATTTTGTGACATATAATGACGGAGAGAAGGGGGGGGGGGTTCAGATAGTGGGGCGTCATAAAAAAGTAATGTTAGAAATTGAATATTAGCCGCTATTATGCGTTTTAGAAAACTTTTAAAAAATAGTAATATTCTGGTCGATTTTATTTTCCATCACATGAACCAAAACTTTCCAATTACAATTAATCTCAATCTAGCCCTTTCGACTAACATTTTTTCCATGTTAGTCTTTAAAAGAATATAAGACATAATTTAAAATAAAAAATAAGACTAGATTAATACAGTTTAAATTAGCTAAATGTTAAAATGAAACTTAATTGCCACTTTTGTTACATTGTAAACATTTTTTTTTATCTTTTTGAAAGTTGTTTCAATGCAAACATTGGTGAGCTAAACATTAAATTGCAATTAGATAAGACTTTCAATGTTATTTTAGAGTAACATAAATTTCATTTATATAAAATACGAGCCGACCTGCTGCGTATCATTCACCGCTATTTAGTTGTTTTATTTTCTACTTTTCAGTAATTCATAATTTGTGAATTTGACAGTACCAATGCTGCCACTTAATATATTTGCTTTAAAACACTATCAGTAGCTCAATAAGGACGATACCCCCCTCCTTTCCCCAACTCCTCCCCCTTGAAAGCAGCCTCCTCTTAGTTACCTCCCCTAAGTTTAAAATTGTTTCAAGCTAAATTATCTGCCCCTAATATCCGGCACTACGATTGTAAACATTTAGCTCACCAGACCATGTGAGGGTGGGGGTGGTAGGGAGCGCGCTTACAGCTTGGTGTTTTCTAACGTCTCCAAGAAGAGAATTATATATATAGATTAGCTATATTAAACAATTAATGAGTACAGTAACCGTATGAGACGGCTTAAACTGCGATAAAAAAAATAGATGAAACATTGAGTTTTTGTCCCAAGAAAATTTCCTAATTTTTTTTCTGGTCTGGTCACATCCCTGTTAGAAACAAACAAACTGAAATCCTACAGACAAGCTAATTGAAGACTTGGATTTCACAGATGTGCCTTCTCACAATATAAATTATACTGTTTTAAGAAGCATTAATAAAAAAGTCAAATGATAGTGATATAGATCAAGATGTTCAGATTAGAATCTGCAACAATAAAATGCTTTAAAATTCTTTAAACCAAAGTGGAATTCAACTACTTTAACTACCTCATGATCATCATAGCCAATGTGAAATCATTTAATGTATTGCTCAGAGACAGAAGACAACAGTTAGTGAAGAACAAAATAAGAGAAAGGAAAAGGTGGTGGATTAGGCAGATAGAGACAGTTTATAACACCACAAGGTGGGCAATTCAATGGAATCTACGGCAAAAGAAGAAATCTTTTGAAAGATAAATTGGGGAGGCTGGATTGTCTAGGGTTGAGCTTTTAAAAAAAAGCTAGTGTTGCCTAGACATATGCTACTTCTGGCGTCGAAGGAATAAAAAGAAGAAAATCAGAAGTTTACAGAGTGGTTTGTAGAAGATGCAAAGCGAATGATCCATTTTTGGTCATGCTTAGTATATTACAATTTTGACGTATCAAAGCAGTAGCAGTCGTTGTGTTCAGAGGATGTGCTTCATTTACTACTTAGTGGCCGTAAATATATGAAAATTGCAGTATTATTGGGTTGTGAAGTAATCAAACACCCATCTGTTTGGTAAAATTTACTAATTTAATAGCAGGGATGTGACTTTTCTTATTTATAGCGGAAATCTAATTTTTCCGCTAGAGCTGTCATTTTCCTCTGTAAATTTAATTCTCCTAATTGTTCTGCAGATGTTTTATATTTGATGATTTTTGTGATCTTTTATGAATTTTTAAAAATCTGGGGGGAAAAGCAGAAATAACCTCTATGGAAACAGCCAACATTCGCATTTCACATATTCCTATTTAAATCAGGTATTACTCTTGGCCTATCAATTCTAGATCTAGGTCCAAGATTCTTTAAATTCCTTGCTGTCACTCCATTCCAACTGACACTCCAATGCGCATATTTCTTTTCACTCTAATAAACCTGGTAAAGTAATAGGTCAAGATAAATTCATTGATATGACTTTTCCAAATTTTACATATTTAACTAATTTTTAGTCTATTTTCTAAAATTTTTGTGCTTAAAAGGAAAAAGTACACCTTCATAGCCTGTTTTTTTTTTTTACCATTATTTACCGGTATTTGAATTTACCCTTTGTTTTTTTAAAGCCACCCTTCTACCATTTCTCTTGGTCTATCATTTTATCATTTTATTTATCAAATTTTATCTATCAAATTAATATTGAAATCCGTACAATAGGTGACAATGAGGACTAGATTAGCCTGCCCCTGTATCAGAAGTGGCTAATGTGAACTCACTGTGACTCTGAGTACATGCTTGAAATTATATAACAATGTGGCTTGGATACCATCATAATGGTTATTTAATATTTTTGGTTCAAATGTTTTTATAACTATTAAATTCCAAAACACTTTTTAAAATAAACAGTAGTCTGTTGCTCATTTCAATTATCGTGGTCGATATCATTTTCCATCACATGAACTAAAACTTTCAAATAACAAGTAGACTCTTTACTGTTGAAGACTTAGAATCTAAATTAAAAAAAAAAAAAAACCGGGAGTGATCTCCCCTAAACTTTCTCAAATATTCTTTTATAACACTATGGGGGATAGCACCTCAGGATATAGACATGATTTTTAATCCATTTTTAATTACTTAAGCTTTTAAAAATAGAATAGAATCTCGTAGAAAAAAGAATTGCGCACCAAATGAACGCCAAAAAATCTGTGTATAATAGTGTGGAATATTATAGCACTTATTAAGTAGCGTAAATTACTACTTCCGGTCAATGGATATTACACAAAATTTGACAGAAAAAAGAGAATTAGAGCTTTTACTTACATGTGAAATTTCATTTATTTATCTGAAACAGTACTCAAGTTGAATAAGTTCCACTTCCGGGTTATCGGAAATAACTGAAAAGTTGATACAGAACTACTAATTTGATATAATACTTGTATATGAAATTTCATCAACCTAGCTGTAATGGTACTCAAGTTATCACAGACACACACACACACACACACGAGACATACAGACAAGATTGCAACTCAGGGAGGTGTAAAACGCAGAGATTTGCAAAAATCTCAATTTTTTTAAAAAAAATTTTTTTTGCACGATTGCAATACTTTCTCTATAGGCCCTACTCTGTATATGAGAAAGTAAAAATAGGTAGGCTCTATACCGTTTCCATCTTTTAGAATATAAGACATAGAATCTAATTTAAATTTGAAAAAAGTGTAAAGAGTATTACAGTTTAAATTAGCTGAATATTAAAATAAATATATCATTTCCATTTTTGTTAACTTTTAAGTTTAATTAAAATAAGTTTATATTAGGGAAACATTAAATTAAAGTAATTTCTTTAATTTCAAATATTAGCCATATTAAACTATTAATTATTATCAATTAGTTTTATTATTTTTTCTCCATGTTCTGGTCACATCCCTATTTAAATGTTTTACTAAATCATTTGAAGTGCGGTTATATTCTTCTAAAAATTTTAAATTGTTTTGATTAAACAGTGTCTTCAACACCGCCTGTTCCAACCCTATGCTATTTTACTGGTTAGATACAAGAATCTGTGATACTCATTTCTCTTTAATACAGTTGATCTAGGCAAGATGTAATGCAATCAATTAAAAGCCTTTGATCTCTCATATTGAAATTTAGAGAAATGTAACTTTCAAGTACATAATACTTGTCGCTCTATATTCTAAGAACAATGGCTGGAGAAATACTACATTATGTGTTTCTAAGTGTTAAATGGTTTACCTACTCACCAATCTAGTGTAAGTGCTACACATTTACGTTGGCTAAAAACTCCCCATACATAAAAAAAAAAGCTGGTGATTGGTTTTTACATGTCATTTACTTGTCTTTGACTCTTTAAGGTATATATTTTACTGTCAAACCATTTCACATTATGTGTTGATACAATTGGTTTTTTTTTGCTCAGTGTTTAATGATTCATCTACACACTATTTCAGTGTAAATCCTTCAGATTTACATCCTTCAGATTTACGTTGGTGAAAAAGCCTTCTCCTACCCCCTCCATCTTGCTAAAAGGGTATTTGTTTAACTTTTACATAATCAAGAGAGTAAACAGTTAAATAGGTTTAAAAAGCCTTGTAGCATTTCATTTTCTTTACTTTGACAGTGTAAAATTCAACCCTGTAGCTTAAAATAAGCTTTTTCATATTTTTTTTCTACTCCTTTTGGAGTCCCATGATGGTCAGAAGTTTGTGTTCCTTGTCTACCAAGCAAACTAATTAATAATATCACCAGGCAAAATAATTTTGATAATAAAATGTTTATAGTAGTTTAATTTCACACTAACTTAAAAATCTCTTGTTTGTAGCCGGTCCGCCTGACAGTTTTATTCTTTTTAACACTTAATTTATTTTAATCCAAATTCATAGCCAGGAAGACTGCTAACCCAAAAGTCTTGAAATTCAGATCTTTAGCTAATGTCTGTAGGACTACCCAGTTCTGATGGGGTAACTGACTCACGTTAGGGAAAGTAAATGCTGCTGGGCATGGTAATAAAATCACCATCTGTTCTTATGTAGTGGTCACTGAAATAGTTTTCATATGTGCCTAATACAATATTGATAGTCTTAACCATGTATTAAATATCCGCCCAAGGATTTATTTTTCAGGACCTTGGATCATAGTTAGTTCATGCCATGAGTTTGAATTAAATGAATTTTGGGACATGACTTTTGCTTATGTTTTAGGTATAGCAACTGAGATGAGTGTCTGGGAAGGCGTGGTTGTTACACCTTCAGAAAAAGCTTATGAAAAGCCACCGGAAAAAAAAGAAGAACAAGAAGATGAAATGGATGAAGAAATGGATGGAGAAAATGTATAGTGTTTCTAGATTGTTTTTCTTGGTGTTTTTATAAAACAAATCTTTGACACATGATCTACATACATGAAATACGTGAAGTTATGCAGGGTAGCAAAAAATTAATTAATTCTTGTAAACATTTAAGTAATGACACTTTGGTCTTCTAACGCAGATGTACAATTGTGGAAACCATCATCTTTTTATGCATGTTGACTGGGTTCAATCAGAAGTTTGTGTTCCTTGTCCATTTGAACACCCTTTAGTTGTAAAAGCAGTATTTACCTTACATGCAAAAATCTTTACATTTAAATGAAGTGCTTGTATTTTCAAAAAGCCAGCTCATAACTTCATAAGGAATTTTTGTATTTAAAAATTTAAATTTTAGTTGAAATTTACATGAAAGAAACAAAAAAAAAGGTTTAATAAATCTTATATTGATTCATGACAAATTAGAATGCTGCTTATAGTTAAAGCATATATCATGGTTCATTTAAAAAAAAATATCTTCATTGTTTCTGGTTTTATTTTGACAATAAAAAAAATCATTGAAAATGCTGTCATAATTTTTTTCTAATTATAATATTTAATAACAGATTGTTCCTATATAAATTATTTTCAGAGCAATTTACACATACACAATACACTTTGGTTACTATATTTGTATTCCCGTGAGGAAGGCAGGCTAAGTTAAATCACAAACATTTACTAATTAGCTGGTAGTTAGGGTCAAAATGTCATTATTTTTGTGGATATGATAAATGGTTGACCTATTAAGATGAGAATCTAGTTTAAAATGCTTACTTAAATAATTGTGAATGACCTTTTTAAATAAAAGCAATGTTATTTCATGTTGTTATTTTTTAAGTTTTCTGTTGATGTTTTGTTCTTGGGATTTCTAGACTAATTTTTACATGTGAAGGTTTTTAATCCATGAAATTATAATTGTTCATTCAATCAAAATTCAATCACCAAAAATATTTCAATAATTCTTGAACCATGTTTCACATGTATTATCAATAAAGAAAACTTTTGTTTTTAAATTTTTGTTTGTTCTTTAATTGATATGCTGGACATAATTCCTCAATTTGCAGATGTTTCTACTAAGATGCTGAAGATGTAACTCAACTCTAAATATATCCTGTTTATTTACACTATTGCTAATGGGTTGGTGTGGTCTGATTGTACAGCGCACGCCTGCTAACCTGAGAGTCTTAAATTGGAATACGAGCATGAGGCATGTTGTTAGGATCTCGCTCCGAACTGCAGTGTCAGTGAGTCCACCCAGCTCTAGTAGGTACCATACTCACATTGTGACCACACAACGGGGCATAGGGATTTCTTTGTTCTTAATTGTGATATTGGACAGTATTTCCTCCAACACAAACAAGTATTTTGTGTCAACTTGTTATGGGATATTTAGGCAGTTGACTCCGATTTCAGTCTGCTATTCTTTTTGTATTTGCTTTCATAGACTTTGCCCTCCAAGAACAAATTACAAGAAAGTAGTTGTTTGATTTTGGGTGGCTGTCCCCAGCTTTTGAGCCTCATCTGCCTGGGGGTTCAAACTTTTTGGTTTAGAAACCATGTGCTGACCATACTATCTCTTCATATGCTGGTCACAAAAATCAGTGAACTCTATTTCATCTGCCTCAGAAATCACTACTGCTAGTTTTATTTAAGTATATGTATCTCCCCTCAAAAAATTAATAATCTTGTGTTACAAAATATAGATCTTTATAAATATAAAGATTTATAACGTAGGAAGCTTTTATTTATGCACTATAGAAAGATAGGGAATGACTTTCTTTAATTAAAATAATGGGCTTCCTGTAAAAAAAAAAAACAACCCTGAATGAATGCTTTCGAAAGTCGAGGAGTGACCTTGGTTGTATCTATTTATAGGACTACTATAGTCCTTGCATATGACGTCACGGATCGTTCAGTATGTCAACATCCGCCATCGCGGTGTACAGGTCAACATTCAAAATGGCGATATGTGCTGTGAAAGGTTGTGATACTTGAAGTGGCAGATCTAAATCGGTATGTCAAACGGCCGTAAAAAACGCCGATTTCGCCCGCGTAGCCCAAATATAGTAGCTTTTCATTTCATAATTTCGATAATAAAAACGGCTCGTATAGTAATAAGCTTGGTACCATTAAAAAGTAAATTTTAAGCCCTCTAATTATGCTTAATAATTATGCTTAATTTTTTTTATAGTTGTTGATATTACACAATATATCTCATTTACCAATTGAAAGCTATCACTGAGATGATTTTCAACGGATTTTGACCCCTCTCTCATTCATCTCGTGGGCCTTTTTTTTACCGTTCAACGTATTTCTTTACAAATACCTGTAAAATGTGCAGAATTGAATACCCTTTTGCACTAAAAAGTAGAAAATAACTTATAGTTACACACTACTATTTAAAGAAAAAAGAAAAGTGTGTATAAAGAAAAGTGTGGGTAACTTTAATATCTATTGTATACCTTTACTAATATTTAGGAAGAGACCCACGCTTTTCTTTATAGTTATTTAAATAGTAGTGTATAATTTATTTTCTCTTTTTTAGTGCATTATAAAATAAAAGCGTGTTATTAAAACGTTTTTTATGAATTTTTTAAATTTTATCAAAAAGTGAGAAAAGAGAAAAGCCAATTTCAATGCAATTATTTTGAACGAGCCGACCCGCGGCGTATCATACGCCGCTATTTAGTTGTTTTATTTTCTACTATTCAGTAATTCATAATTTGTGAATTCGACAGTACCACTGCTGTCACTGAGAATATTTGCTTTGAAACACTATCAGTGAGTCTTTAAGGACGATAAACCACCCCCTCCTATCCCATCCCCCCCCCCCCCCGTGAATGCAGCCTCCTCTTAGCTACCTCCCCTAAGTTTAAAATCGTTTCAAACTAAATTATCTGCCCCTAATAGCCGTCACTAAACCGGGCTCTACGATTGTAAACATTTAGCGTGAACCACAGCTCACCAGACTTCCTAGAGAGGAAGAGAGGGGACTGCAAGGCGCTCTTACAGCTTGTTTTCTAACGTCTCCAAGAAGAGAATTATATATATAGATGATGTACTTATTTTTGAGGTTTGAAAAAACATATACATGCGCTTGGATCATAAATATCAGGACACTGGTTTACCTACACTACCGCATGAAAACCTAGAGTGTACGTTAAATACTGACCGAAATAATGAGGCAGAACACACTTCGGTGACAGCCCATGTGTCAGGGAAGTAGAGGGGCGCTATCTGGAGCCCCCGATTACACTACCGCAGAGGCGCCATTGTGCTTGTAAGGGAACCCTTGGCGTTTCGGGTCATACAGTCTACGGGGCGCCGGCGGTTGAAGTTTCAACGCTGAATATAGTAGTATCCCTTACCCGCTATGCTGGACGAACGATTAATGGATGCAATTGCCAAGTGCTAACATGGCCGCTCTGAAACTCTGACGCCAAATTTTGTATTGATGAAAATCGCACCCTCCCGGGCGCCGCTCATATCAAATTTTAATTATTTTGTTAACAGAAACCTTCCCGGGAGTATTCTCATCAACTCTTTAAAGTTTTATAGCACTCGACTAAAAGGTGTCGAACCGCATCTGACTTTCATTTTTTTTAATATACCGTATATATAGCAGAATCGCACCATTACGGGGCGCCACCCTTGCAAAATAAAAATTGTTTTACAGAAACCTCCCCTCGAGTGCTCTAATCAGCTCCCCAAAGTTTCATAGCACTCGGATAAACGGTGCCAGACCACATTCGACTTTTATTTTTTATATACCGTATATATAGAAAAATCGCACCCTTCCGTGGCGCCGCCCCTGCGAATTTGAACATGTTTTTTGCACAGAAACCTCCCCAGGAGTATTCTCAGCATCTTCCCAAAGTTTCATGGCAATCGTGCGAACGTTGTCACTGCAATTCACTTTTATTATTTTTATTTACCGTGTATAGAGAAAAATCGCACCCTCCCGTGGCGCCGCCCTTGCGAAATTAAAAAAAAAGATTTTTTTTTTAGAACCCTTCCCTGGAGTGTTCTAATCCAGGGGTCGGCAACCTGCGGCTCGCGAGCCGCATGCGGCTCTTTTGATATCAAGATGCGGCTCTTCAGCTTTATGCACAAATATTAATAATTATTTTAATTTTTTTTAAAAACTCATAAAAATATTTATTTGCAATACTCGGTAATGAAAGATATAATAACAATTTAAAGTTTCTAATTTCGAGCAGAGCTTGCTAAACTATTTTAGTAAGTTTTGTGCGAAACATGTGTATGTTTTTATATGAATAAATATTATTTCATATTTTAAGCTATTTATTTTAAATATATAAGTAATATATATGTATATATATATATATATATATATATATATATATATATATATATATATATATATATATATATATATATATATATATATATATATATATATATATATATATATATATATATATATAATCAAATATCATAAAATTGAAATAAAAATGTTTGTGGCTCTTAAAAACCTGTGACATTTGGTAAATTGTAAGTTTTGGCTCTTCCGTCCCAAAAGGTTGCCGACCCCTGTTCTAATCAACTCCCCAAAATTTCATGGTGATCGGATGAACGGCGTGAAACCGCAATCGCCTTTTATTTTTATATATCGTATATATAGAAAAAAAAATCTCGCCCTATCGGGGCGCCACCCCTGCGAATTTGATTTTTTTTCTCGCAAAAACCTCCCCAGGAATATTTTCAACAGCTTCCCAAAGTTTTATGGCGATGTGATGAGAGGTGTAGTAATGCACAAAAGACAATCAGACACACACACATACACACGTACACACACACAGACAGACATTGCTTTATATATATATATATATATATATATATATATATATATATATATATATATATATATATATATATATATATATATATATATATATATATATATACTACCCATATTGGCTGATATCTAAGAACAACAGTGATTGCAGAGTTTCTTCCAGGCATCTATTCGAACCCCCACATATACTAATATACAACGATTTAAATATCTATAAAAGAAAAGCGTGGATCACTATGTTATGTATTGAATGGTAATCGACTGGTTATGAAAAGTACAATTAACTGCAAACCAAAAAGCTGAAGCCATGTCCACGAAGAAGTGCTAAAAACCATAGACATGCTTGAAGATTAACTGGAAGAAAACATGCGATGAGAATTAACAAAACACAAGGAATCAGTAATCAGTATTTCGGAGGTGAATTGCTTCACAGGAAGTAAGGACGAAGAAGCAGACGAGGACATCAAAAGCAGAGTTTTTTCCAGGCAACTCTTCTGGGGGGGGGGGGGGCTGAGCCCCCAGAAAAAAGTCCCCCCCCCCCCCGAACGAAATGGAATTTATGAATTTATATAGAAAATGTATACATTTAACAGTGCCCCCCCCCCCCCAAGAAAGTCTACCCCCCTGAAAATTTCAAGTGCAACCCCCCCCCCCCCCCCCGGAGAAAAAAATCTGGAAGAAACACTGATCAAAAGCCTCACCGTTAAAGCTACTTAAAATTATGCGTTCCACACTCTCCGCGCAATCTGGACGTCTTGAGCACTTTCCAAACTAATAAACATCACCAGATATGTATATTTGAGCCACCTAGGCCAAGGAAAGAGTTAAATAGATAAGCCAAAGTAAACTTGGAAAAGATTAGTTGTATGTGGAGCATAAGCAGCCGTGGAGTTATTGCGCAAAGCCGAGTACAATGGAGAAGTAGCTGCTTCCCAATGCAACATAACACAGCGTTTACACTTACGACATGTTATGTATACTAGACTTGACCTACTTATGTGTTTACTAAATATGTTATGGGTATATGGAACATCTTCTGAGCCGCAGGGTACAAAACCACGCCCCTTTTTATATTCTGGGCCAAGTTTTTGTTTTCGCTCGTGAGTGAAAACAGGACGTGCTCTCAATTTTCAGATGAGTGTGCATATATCGATGCGTGGTAAGCGCATCTTCTCAGCTGATCGCAAAATGTAGGCTAACTTAAATATACAGTATATTATGCTGATCTTGAATGTTTTGAGCACACAATTTTAAAATTTATCCAGAGGCGTAGCTGGGAGAGGGGGGGGGGCGCCCTAGGCGCCGACCTTAGGTGGCGCCAAAAGGGGTAGAAAAAATATTTAAAAGCTGCAGTTTTGAATTATAAACAGTCAAAGTCAAGAAATTTAACGGCTACAAGCCTTTGCATTACTGATTTAACTGTTTTCTACCTTTATTGTGTAACTTTAAAACATAAACCCTTAAAAAATAGACAGTGCGCAGTGTTTCTTCCAGACTTTTTTCTCCGGGGGGGGGGGGGCACTTGAAATTTTCGGGGGGGGGGGGCGGTAGACTTTCTTCGTGGGGGGGGGGGGGCGGACACTGTTAAAAGTATATATTTTCTATATAAATTATATAAATTTCATTTCGTTCGGGGGGCGGTAAAAATTTTTCGGGGGGGGGGGGGGGGGGCTTCGCCCCACCGAAGAGATGCCTGGAAGAAACTCTGTTAGTGCGCAATATTATTAGTACTTTATAAATTTACATGCGTTTTTTGAGAAATCGGAAATAGCGTAAATAAGTGTGTGTGTGTCTGTCCGTGTGTAAACACGATAACTTGAGTACCGTTACAGCTAGGTTGATGAAATTTCATATTTAAGTATTTTATCAAAATCGTAGATCCGTATCAACTTTTGAGCGATTTCCGATAACCGGAAGTGGTACTTGCGTACTATTTGAGATAGATGCATGAAATTTCACACGTAAGTAAAAGATCTAATTCTCTACCTTTTGTCAAATTTTGAGTAGTTTCCGATATTTCCGATTTCTCAAAAAACGCATGTAAATTTATAAAGTACTAGCCGTCCCGGCCAGGCCCTGCTCTGACTTCTGTGAAAAACCTTTCTGTTAAAGACCATTACCTGTGTGTTTAGTAATCATCATAAACCCGGCATTGCCCACCCAAACCACAACCAACCAAAACAACAAAACGCAAACATAACGCTAACACAATTACAAATACAAACGAAAACAAAAACCTAACCACAACCACAAACACCAATACGAACACAAAGAAAAAAAAACGAAAAAGCAAACGAAAACAAACCAAATCCAAACGCAAAACCAACAACAAACACAAACCCAAAGAAAAAACACAAACGAAAAAGCAAACGAAAACAAACCAAATCCAAACGCAAAACCAACCACAAACACAAATACAAACACAAATCCAAAGAAAAAAACACAAACGAAAACGAAAAAAAGAAAGAACAAAAACGAACCAAATCAAAACGCAACCACTAACGCAAACCCAACCTAAACGCAAAGAAAACACTAACGCGAACATAAACGCAAAGTGCTCACAGTCTAGCCCGGGGCAGAATCGCCTGTTTCAGCTTAATAATCGACTATAGTACCCCAACTTATTCATAGTCTTTCTGCACTCACTTAAACGAACGTAGGTGCCAAACCAAACCAAATGAACAATTATAATACTCCAAGCTTATTCGTAAAATACCTACAACATTTGCACTTGATCAATCCCCGCTAATTATGTAATTATTTTTTTCCCAACACCAAAACAAAGTAATAAAAAGTAAATTCTTTTCCACTAATGCTATGTTTTATAAAGGGAAGTAATTGTGTTTTCCTAATTTATCAAAGGGAAGTGAGTGCTAAAGGACTAAATATAAATAATTTTCAGACATAATTAGGATTTTTGTTATTTTTTAAAATTGTGTTTAATGAACATGCCGACAATTATTACTATCAGTTTGAAAAATGAAAATTATTTCCCAACACTTTCAATAGTAATTTTTAAACTCTTAAATTTAGACTATGAGCACGGTAATAGTCTAACACTTAAATCCATATAAGTATGTCAACGACAAACAAACATATTACATACAGAATTGAGCTTTATATATTAGACTAATAATATCCCACACTTTTATACACATTTTATTAGGCGTTCACTTGGTGTGGGACGGAGTGGTCTAGCGGTAGAGAGCTGGACAGCTAACCCGTTAGTCTCGAGTTCGAATCCGAGTTCAAGCCAGTAGATCGTCCCTGAGTCCACCCAACTGGGCATAGGGCTGACCACACTATCTCTTCATATGCCGAGGTCATAGAAACAAGTGAACTCTACTTCACTTGCCCCATAGACCATCAGGTTTGAAAGGGAAACTTTTCACTTGGTGTGCAATTCTTTTTTTTTTACGAGATTCTATTCTATTATAAAAAGTTTAAGTAATTAAAAATGGATAACAAATATTGTCTAGATCCTGAGTTGCCATCCCTCGTACTTTTATATTAGAATATTCGAGAAAGTTTAGGGGAGATCCCTCCCGGTTTATTTTTAATTTGTGTAGTACAAATCTTTTAAAAGGAGCTTATGAGCACCCCTATTTGACTATTTAAAAAAGGGAAATAAGTCATGGAAGTGGTTTCAAAGTTTGTTTATCTTTGCTAATTTTAACTGTAGGAGAAAGAGGACTCGGCTTTCACAGTGGTTTAAAAACAAAGAGAAAAAGAATATTTAAGAGTGGGGTGGTGTCTATAGATAGAATAAAGATAATCCAACCGCAGCTACGGTAATCTTTTTACAAAACAACCATCAAATCAAAAATGCAAGAATTTTTTTAAAATTTTAACTATAAAAAATAATTATTATGGTCGGCTGTGGGCCCCTAAATGGCGTGCCCCCCCCCCTTCACATTGCGGGGTCTGGCACTCTGGCGGCACTGTAGTTCCGCCCCTGATTCTTACGTTTCTCTCAACTTCAACGTGAGAGATTAGATACTTTTACTTGATTGCATTACAACTTGCCTGGATCACTGTATTGAAGTGAAATAAATATCACGGATTCTTGAATCGCTATCCTATCAAACCCTTCTTAACAGTTGACAAAATCTTATCGTGAATCACATGTCGGATGTGTGGCTTGACCTCAGTACACTTGGGTTCGATCGAACCCAAGATAAGAACCACTGTTCGGCTGATTTTTTCTTCTTTTTTTTTTTGTTTCGGTTTCCTAAGGAGCATTGGCGTAGGAAATACTTCGTCAACTCACTTGATTTTTATGAAGATGGAACCCTAATAATCTAGTCTCCTCCATCTCTAGTTCAAACGATTTCCTAGAGGACTTTTAACTTTTTGTCTCCTTCTCTTCCTCTTTCACCGTGGACTTTACACCAGCACCGGCTTAATGGTGTTATTTAATCAGAGGCGTAGCGACCCTTCCCGGCGCCCGGGGACAAACTTTTCGATTTGCACCCCCCCTCAAGATTTCGATTTGCACCCCCCTCCCTCAAGATTTTGATCTGCACCCCCTTCTCAAAATTTCGATTTCCACCCCCTCAACCTTTCAATTTATTTTTCCAACCCATTTTGGCGCCCCCTAAGGTCGGCGCCCGGGGACATATGCCCCCCCCCCCTCGATACGCTATTGTATTTAATGATATTGCGCCATAACCACCACTTTTTCCATGTTCTTATTTTATTATCTCCGAGCCATATAGTAAAAGAGACTTCACATTTAGCTATAGATCCTGAATGAATGTTTTTGACAATGCATTTGAATTCCACTTTGTCTTAGAGTGTTAAACGCGTTTTATCGCTGCTGATTATAACTATTATTAAACTGGTTATTACTGCTTCTCCAATCAGTACAATTATTTCTGCATTTGGGAGGGGGGGGGGGTTGTCGAAAGTGGACGCGTGTCGACTGGGAGAGGTGGGGGGGGGGGGGCTAAAATCCCAAATTTTTTTGGACGTCTTAAATGGATGACCCTGTATCATAGGCTAGTTCGGCCCCTTATAGATTTTTATATATTTTATAATACAAAGCAAGCCCATTGCATTATCTTTGCAATCACTTTAGTATTAAAAGTTTAAAAATAAAATATAGAATTAGAATAAAAACACACGGAAATGTCTTCTAACATTTTATCACCATTCCACGCCAGATTTTGGTGTGGCGAGTTTTAAATCCTTTTGATCTGGCAATAACATTGCAACTGCGACATAAAACAATGGTTTAGCAGCTTAGCATTGATAACATCAAATCTAGATTTCTAGAATCTAAATCGAGTATCAGTAGGCCTATAATATATCTAGATCTAGACGTCTATTTAAATTAGATATATTCCTCGACTAGTTCTAGATCTAGATCTAATATAAATCCTGATTTAGATTAAAACAATGCGCTACCCAAAAAATGTTACTGTTGTCAGTGTTGTGCTGACTTAGAAACTTTTTTCATATTCTTACTTTCTAACTAAAATAATCTAAAATCTATATTAAAGTTTAAAGTATATTATTCTAGATCTAGATTGATTGTAAATAAATAAATATAGGCTAGATCTACACTATGAGAAGATGTAGTATGTAGCCTACTTAACCTTGTGACTTTATGTAGTATGTACTATCACTATGTAGCAGTAGTGAGTAACTCAAGGAGTCAAACTGCAAGTCTATCAGCTGAGATGACTCAAGAATGCTCAAGATTATTACTAGATCTAGAATCTAGATTCTAAACTAGATTAATTAGGAATTAATATTAAATCTAACTAAGTAACTAAACTATAGTCACTAGGCTATAGAATAGATAGTGTAGTAATAAAATTATAATAATAGGGCCTAATAATAGTAGACCCTACTGTAGGCTAATAGAATAGTAGGGTCTATTAGATCTAGGCATGATTAGGAATAATTTTAATTTAAAAAAAAAAACTGATTATTTTTTTAGACCTAGGCCTACATTTTAAAATTACATTACTTCAAAATTTATAGCAATGCCATGTTACCATGATTATTACTAGAAATAGAATTGACGTATTATTAGAGGATTTCTGTTTGTTATAATTATTTTATAATTATTATGGTTTTTTGCAAAAAATAATAATGCAAAGTTTTATTCAATGACACTTTGTCACTCAAAGTAATTTTCATCGCAATGGCATCTTCTACTGCTGGTGAATCATATTTAACCATTTTTAATATTAGTTGTGATCAAATTCTTCGTGTCCAAAATATTGCTGAGTCGTTGTTCAAAGTTGCTATTCATGTAGTTTTACATTCAAGTAGACCCACATCTCTTGATAATTCAGAGTTAGGCTTATTTTCCAGCGCAACATGTTTATTGGAGAATAGAGAAAATGCTAGTACTGGAACATCAATTGTTAAAAACAGCAATGTAATGGATTGCACTACACCAGAATGTATAATGAATAAACGTCCTAAAGAATCAAATTTAACTGAGGAAACGGAAAGACAAAAATGCTATAACACTCTGGAAGATTCAACAGAGGACATTTTCAATTTGCCAACTGCTATTTTACAATTTGAAAGTAAAAATGGCAGTAAATTTTCGCAGGATAACATCAAGAAAGCAAAAGTATGAGTTTATTTGTTAACCCATTTTGGAGTATTGGTGTGTCCAGCAATGGATTTTTCTATAAACAGGTGTGCTAGGTTGTAAAAGTATTAAGCCTAGTAGATTTAATATTATAACATCAAGTTTAGTATTTAGGTCAGAAATTAGGCGGGAAAGGGTTAGCATTGACAGCAAGTTACTTTTTTTAGTTTACTGCAAGTAACCTAACACCCTTGTTTTAGAATTCCATTATTGCGGCATTACCGGACACTAGTATAACTATAACATCCCCACTTTCAGTGCCAAAGGCAAAGTAATCAATGTGGAAATGCTATATGCATACCAAACCATAATTTGTTTACTTTTATATATTTAATACTTCAGTTACAGGTTGATAATCTGGAAAATGTCAGCTGACTAGATTGAGGGAGCTTAAAATGAATACAATATTTTAGAATTATTCTGATATATTTTATTTATAATTTAAGGAATGAATAAGGAAATGAAAATGTTTTGGAGCTCTAATATTGTAAGTTAGACAGTAGATAAAAACTTAAGCACAATTAGGAGGAAAATATTACGATTCCACTAACTAAATACAAGTTAATTCAAACAATTACAATGATGCCGTACTTAAGCATTTCAGTAAAATGAGCGTGGGAAGCTATTAAAAGAATCCTAAATAATTTAAGATTGTTGTAACATCAACCAGATCTAGTGTTAAATCACACAAAAAGTGTCATAAGAAGAGCTGGTTATGGTTTTATTATAGTGGGGGTAGGGGTATTCATGTTTAAAAAAAATGTAAGCTTAAATGAAGCAGTCGATAGATCTAGATGCAGGCTAGATATCTATAATATAAGCGGGCTGGTAGTGTGTCAGTCCTTCCTCGTGTCATCGCTATAGATTTTTGAACCATAAAAGTAAACACATCACATGTCGTGCTTTTTACCTGCATCACAGTGTCATATTATAAGTGATAAAGAAGGGTTTGTTTATACAACGACTTAAATTTATTTCATAGTTGCCACTGTTTTTAATTGTTTCGCATAACGTAAAGAAAATGTTTAATACACGCTAATAGCTAAAACAAATTAACGGATCAATGTCAAATATCATTTTCGTTTAGATTCCTTAAAAAAGTGGATACATTTTAATAACATTATAACAGTAGGGTAGAAAAATCTAATTAAACTGTTTAGTAATTTTGCCAAGGGAGGTAATTTAAAAATAAATTCAACTCACGCCAAAAAAATGTGAATGCAAAAATCTCCAAGATGGAATAATTGTTGGAATAATATAATTAGCAAAATGTGAATGCAAATTATGCAGACGTATAAGAGTACATTATTGTTGGAATATTATAATTAGCATTGATTGATAAAGGCTGTCTTTTATTTATTTTATTCACTGAATGTACTGTTTACTAATTATAATTTTTAATCAACTATTCCCCACTATTATATAAAGTCATCACGTTCATTAGGTGAGCAATGGTTTTAGTCATGAAACTTTATTGTAAATTTTAAAAAGTACTGAAAAAAATAACATGAATTTATAAAGTGCAATATGGTCTGTAAAACACGGATATTATAGATACAGCCTTTTATTTATTTTATACACTGAATTACTGTTTACTAATTATTATTCTATCTTTCGGTTTGCGGACAAGCTAGGGGTTTTATAGTCAGTCACCGAGTCAGGCGAACAGGGCGCGATTTGGCGCCACGGGCTAGACTATGAGCACTATGCGTTTATAATTGTATTTAAATTGTGTTTATGTTATGAGTGTTGTGTTTGTTTTTTTGTTTGTGTTTTTTTCCTTTGTTTGTACATTTAAAAAAGATTTACCGTGGCGGAGCACTGGTATGCAGCTAGTCCTTAATATAAGCGGCCAGATAGTGTGTCAGTCCTTCCTTCTTTCATTCCCTCATCGCTATAGATTTTGGAACCATAAAAGTAACATCAACACATGCCATGCATTTTAGTTGCATCGCATTGTCTTATTACAAGTATTGGAGTATGGTCTATTTATGTAAGGACTTAAATTTTGTTATTCTAGCCAAAGTTTTTACTCTTTTGCTTATTTGCCTAGAAGAAAATGGATTCATTTTTATAAAGTAGTGTCGAATAAAAGTATTCAATTAAAATTTTTAATAATTATGCAAGGGGAGGTAATTAAAAAAAAATTCAACTCATGCTGAGTATTGCTTTTTAAGTAATTTTTTTTTTATTCCTTCCACATTGATTATTGTTTTTTTTTATTTCTCTGATCTCTTAAAATCACAATTTTATTTTTGATGCTATTCAAAGGGATGGTTAAATTAGATAATGTGGGAAAGGCTAACTCTAAGCGCGGACATCTGGCTAAGTGTTTGAGATTGAGTTTGCTTTTGTTTTGTTTGTGTTTTATTTTGCGTTTGCAAGTTGCCTTTGCATTGTGTTCGCTTTTTTGTTTGAGTTTGTGTTTTCATTTGTGTTTGCATTTGCGTTGTGTTTGCATTTTTGTTTGTGTTGTGTTTGGTTTTGTTCTGTTCCCTAGATTCACTGTGGCGAAGCATGGGTATGCAGCTAGTTTACTAGATATAACTAGACTAAAACTATACATAATCCTCTTATTTTGAATGAGTGTTTGATGATAGGCCGTTTTGCTTATTTTAATTATTTATTTTCAGATTAACAAAGTAGCATCAGCGTGCAAGTTCCACTTTTTGCCTTCAAATTCTTCTTTTTATGTATGACTGTTTCTACTTTTGGTTGCCATCTACCTTACTGAATCAGTACTTAAGTATTGTGTTCCCACAGCAATAGAGTAAAATACCACTTTCAGTTGCTGGAAATAGTTCAAAAGTTGACTGAAATAATTTAATACTTATGTTTGACATTTTGTCCACCTAATTTAGATTGTTCTCAATTTATAGGCTCTTGAGAAACCCAAAGTGGTTTCCTGTTATCAGAAAATGCCCAAAAGTTGATAGAGTACTATAAATTACTACTTTCTTGTATACGGAGTATAGAGAAAGTATTGTAATCGAAGCACATAATAAAAATTGAGATTTTCACAAATTCAACTACTTACACATCCCTTAGTCAGAAAAATTGTCACATTGGGGTGAGCCTTTCACAGCGTGTGTCCCACCCAGAGCCACCTCCTATCATAGGCTCTTGCCTTGCTTTTCTCCACAACTTCATGTTTGGCACTTTGTCCTGCCACCTCAATTTCAAAATCTGTCTAAGGCATCTGTTCATGAAGGTCTGTATCTTTGCTGTGCTAGCTCTGGAGACCCTCCATGTCTCGGCTCAATATAGCAAAACTGCCTTGACATTTGTGCTAAGTATTATAATCTTGGTTTGGTTGGAGATGGCAAAATTTTTCCATATGGGTCTCAGAACTGTGAAAGCGCAGTGGGCTCTATTAATTTTAGCACGTATGTCCTCCTCTGTGCCTCTTGCTGCTAAGGTAGACAAAATCTTCCACATTATTTACATGTCTTCTGTCTATTGTCTCTGGGGCCTTCTGGTTATTGTTGATTCTCATTACTTCTGTCTTTTCTTTGTTGATCTTGAGACCTACATGTTGAGAGATGGCTCCTAATGCATCAACTTTTTCTTGCATGTCTTGTAGCCTGTGCGAGAGTAAGGCAAGATCATCTGCAAACTCCAGATCTTCTAGTTTCCCCGTGAGTGTCCACTGTATATCTTTAGAAAAACAACAAGAAGAGAAGGGGTGAGAACAAACATCCTTGTCTAACACCTGTGTTGACCAGAAACTCTTTAGACAGTTTCCCCAGCATGGCTAACTTAGCATGAAAATCGTGAATCGATTTCCTATTGCCTCTTCTTTGCTTCAGTTTAGCAACAACCAGGTGATGACCGGATCCTATATCGACACCTCGCTTTGTTCTCACATCCTGCAGTGAGGCCCTCCAGCGACGCTGTACTGCAACATGATCAATCTGGTTTTCAGTATGATGATCGGATGATATCTAGGTGGCTTTATGACATTTTCGGTGGGGGAAAAGTGTACCGCCAATAGTAAGCTCATTTGATGCACAAAATTCTGTGAGGAGTTCGCCATTCTCATTCATTTCCCCTAGGCCAGGGGTCGGCAACCTTTTGAAGCGGAAGAGCCAAAAGTTACAATTTTCAAAATTTCCCTGGTTTTAAAGAGCCACTAACATTTTTTATTTCAAATATTTTATTTTTTGATTAAGATTATTAGTATTTGTTCAAGGAGCTGGAGAGCCGCATCTTGATATCAAAAGAGCCGCATGCGGCTCGAGAGCCGCAGGTTGCCGACCCCTGCCCTAGGCCATTGGTTCCCATCTCCATTTCCCTGCCTCTGTTGTCTCTGCCTACTTTGGCATTTAAATCATCCATGAGGATCAGCATGTCGCGCTTGGGTACCTTATCAACCACTGACTGAAGCTCTCCATAGAAGCGGTCTTTTTCTTCTTCGTTTGCGTTGTTTGTAGGAACGTAGCACATGATAATGGAGGTTTTTTGAAACCTGGATTCAAATCTAGCTTTAATTATTCGATCAGACACAAGTTCCCATTCAATTAGGCTTTTTGTTGCCTCCTTTGTCGTGGGTCGTCCTTATTTTCTTTTCCTGAGTATCGCAGTGTTTCTCCCATCTGGAATTTTGTTTTTTGAAAGGTGTTCCATCTTGTTTTGCATAGGCCAAGCACTGTAAGATGCTACTGTTGCATTTCTTTCACTGCCTGTGCAAACTTCTATGATGTTTTTTTTTTGCTTATATAGCAACCAAACCCATAACTCATAAACCTCTCTAAAATTTAATTTTACTTATCAAACAATATAACATTTAAAAAAATGGCACAACGCTCTAACTGATGTCTACAGAGATTTCTTTTCTCCCCTTCCCCGTGGTGTAATGTAAATCGCCGATGTACAACATGTATTAAACCACATACATTTAATTTAACTTTAGCCATTCCGTAGATTTTAATTATTTAATTATTTAGCGTGAGTTAAATTTTTTTAAAAATTACCTCCCTTATCAAAATTAGAAAAAGAGTTTAATTAATTAGATTTTTCTACCCTACTGTTATTATGTTATTAAAATGAATCCACTTTTTCTGAGAATCTAAACGAAAATGATATTTGACGTTAATCTTTTTAATATGTTTTAGCAGTGTGCGTGTATTTAATATTTTCTTGACGTTATGCGAAAGAGTAAAAACAGTGGAATTTATAAAATAACTGTATGTCGTTATGTAAACAAACCCTACTCCATCACTTAAAATAAGGCTCTGAAAAGCACAGCATGGTGTGATGTTTACTGTTATGGTTCCAAAATCTATAGCGATGACAGGACTGGCCCTTTGAGGAACTAGGTTGATAGTGCTGTCTCTTTTCTCTAAACTAAAACCAACCCCCCCCCCCCCCCCCCCCCACACACACACACTCCAAAACATGTCTACTGTCCCATTCAACGAAATATAATTATATACTTTTTCCAGTGTCCGCCCTCTCCCCGAAAATTCTACCCCCGCCCCCGAAAATTTCAAGTACCCCCACCCCTCTCCGGGGAGGAAAAGTCTGAAAGAAACACTGGTCGCATTTGTAGATCATACAAACTAGAGGAAGAACCTGGGCGGGGCTTCGCCCCTACCGGAAGAGATGCATGAAAAAAACTGCACGCTAAACATTTTTTTAGATTAGAAAAATTCCTCCCTCCTGGGAGGAAAAAGACACTGGTGTCGCGCTTAGCCACTACCCGAAGAATTGCATGAAAGAAACCACTTTTTAGATTAGACACATTAATTAGACAGTAATTTTATTATAGAGTATCGATGAAGAAATTTCTTTTGAGTTGGGGAGGGGGGGGGGGGCTCAGACGTTCTTACGCGGGGGATGGGCTTCGCCCCTATCGAAGAATTGTATGAATGAAACTCTTCACGCAAACCACTTTTTAGCATAGACACATTAATTAGGCTGTAATTTTATTATAGAGTATCGATGACGACATTTTTTTTAGTTGGGGGGGGGGGGGGGGTCGGCTTAGACGTTCTTACGGGGGGGGGGGGGGGGGGAATGGGCTTCGCCCTACCCGAATAATTGTATGAAAGAAACTCTTCACGCAAACCACTTAGATTAGACAAAATTGCCCTTTTGTTCAATGTTTACTCGAGAATCAATGACGTAATATTACTGTGTGCACTCTCCGGCTTGAGGTTATTTTTTACTACATGCTAAATGTGACGTCATATTTCGTTTCCGTCTTATTGTGAAAGTTTTTAAATTGCTTGTGTTTTCTCTAGAGCGTTCTTGTCAGATACATACACAGATAGATAGATACACAGACAGCGAAACTATTATATAGAATATATATATATATATATATATATATATATATATATATATATATATATATATATATATATATAATATAAGCAGCCAAGTAGTGTGTGGTCTTCTGCCACTTTTCAGCTGCTCCAAATTCCTTCTTATCCACCACACTAAAATGCCCTGTCTTCCTGGGTCAATCCTTGTGTTGCTTGCCTTGTGAGTTCCACTACAAGGCCTGCATGGCTTTATGCCCAATCTATTGCCATTTCCTGCCCATGATTTGCCTTTCTATTGTTTCTTATCCTCTTTCACACATCTCACATGCTTTCTTGTTTTCTACCTTTTCTTGCCATTTTATGTTTAATATTATTAAAAGTCTGGATTCTTTTTGTTGTTGCCTCTAATGTTTTCCATGTCTCGGATCCGTAAAGCAGGACTGCTTTAGGTTTGAGTTTTTAACTGCAAGTAGTAGAATGACTGGGATGGTATGGCTGGGGGTTGAGAAAAGGTGTCCTATTTGGAAAGATTAGAGGGGGCTTTTTTTTTAACTGTCACTGGCCCTTAACTGTATTGATTTTTCTCTTGCACTGCAAGTCCCCTCCTTGTGATGCTACTACCCATAATCAAGGATGTACATCTGGTATCTGCCGTTAAACTGAAGGGAGCGGTCTTTGAATTCAAATTTCAGTTTTTTACATGTCACTATTTGTTTGTATTTGAATTTGAACAAGTATGAAAAAAAAATACCAAATGTGATATATTCTTGCCTAAGTTATCTTTGTATCATTTATTGAAGCAAAAAGATGGAGGTAATTTTTTAAGTGCTGCCAAAAGATACATTATTCTTTACCTTGTTGATTTATTGTGAATTCATTTGAAAAATGCTTAAATTTACCTTCTAAATTTTACTGTTCAATCACAAAAACAAAAAAAATCTGTGTGTTTTATTGTGTTGTAAAATTGTCTCATAAAGTTTGCACAGCAAGACTGTCAAGCTTGAATGTGATGATTTGATTTAACCACTTATACCTGTAATGCAACTTTTTTGTTCACTATGAATTCTAGCGCTGAGTTGAAGAGGACAAAAAAATAATACACATTCATAGTCACTATTGGTGACTGTTTTAGCAAAACTAAAGTGCTCACATGTAGATCTCTATATAATTTCCATTGAAACACCAACAATAGAGATTGCTTTGTATTGTATCAGTATTAATACAACAGACAATTTGGCATTTAAACTTTATGTGTTTCAGTTGACTTACAACTGTTCAAAAATTTGGCCATTCGGCATGAACAAAGTATAGATAATAGTAAAATAGACTTGAAATTTTAACTTTGTAATTGTCAAAATTTAGTAATTGTCACAATGTTGTAACAGATCTGACTTTTTGTCAAATAAACTTTTTGTCTCAGTGGGACAAGCGAGTACCTTTTTGAAGCGATCACCGCCCTTATTCTGTATCCACTCTCCCAGAAATGTGCTATAAGTTTCTATCTCCCCCAAGACCCTTCCACCACCTCCAGGGGACAATATTGCCCACATTGGGAACCACTGCTCTGAGTTCATGTTTAGTGTTAGCTTTTTTTTTTTGTTTGCTTAGGATTCTAACATCAAAGCTTTTGGGACAGTGGTTTGGGTTGGGGACTTGAAAAAAAGTATGATGTGTTATGTATGTATATATAGGAAATTCTCTTCTAAGAAAATGATTAGGTCTAGTATATTAACAAAAAGAGAGTATATTTTGTTACAATAATAAGCAGTTAAATCTTCTCTTTTCACAGACATTTGTTATTGCTCACCTGGCACCACAATCTGATTATGTTACTGTTACTGACAAATTTAAAAACTTGGCTGAATTTGAAATGATTGAAAATGTTGCTGATGAAATTCAAAGATCTACTTTATCCCTTGTGACCCTAGACAAAGATAACCTTGAGGTCACATTGCAAGGATCAAAAAACAATGTGGCTTCTGCCAAATCCAGAATATTTCTACTTCTAAATATTTTAAACGAGCAGTTAACAGATGATGGTGACTCAAACAATGAGATAATAGATTCCTATGGTAAAAATTATCTTGTAGAAAGTCAACCTAAAGAAAATGTGCATATAATTCAAAACACATTTTCTAAAAAAGTACCTATCCCAGAATCCATTCAAAGCATTCCTTATTCACCAGAAAATATGAATGTTGTGGCTGAAGTTGAAGATGATTGTTTTAAGTCTCAGAATTTGTTTTCTACTAAGGAGATTCAAAATACTAATTTTATGATACCTTGTGAAATAGATACATTATCTGAAGAAAAAATTGCTACAGATTCTAGATATAGTAAACAGTTTGAACAAGCAATCAAGTTAGGCTATTCAGAGGAAGATGTCTCTAAGGTTTTGCTAAAACTGGGACCAAACAGTGAGTTAAATGATATTTTATCTGAACTTCTTAAAACCCCTGCAAATAACGTAGGAGATCTTGACAAGGGAAATGCATTTTCTAAGGATGAAGGGCATTTGCAGATTCATGAGGAAAGGTCATGTGATTTTACACAACCATTTTCTAAGGTTAACAACAAATCTAAACATGGTTTGGATACTACTCTACGCCACATCATAATTGATGGAAGTAATGTTGCTATGAGGTAAGATATAATTTGTTTCAATTCTTTAAATTAAAATAAATAAATTACTTAACCGAACGTAAAAAAATATCAATGATTTAGAGACATTTGGATGCTTTGAAATTTCCCTTTGTCCACTTTCTGGGTGGGAACAAAAACAATTGACATTATTATGGTTTCCTACCCATGCCACCTGAGTGATAGTTAACATGATATCATCTTGGCCAGGAAATTCATATCAATTGGGGTAAATATTTTGTATTATTCAGCTTGCTCTCTATAATCATTAAGTAAAGATCTTATTTTAATTAATGTATATCCTAATTTAACCTATTTGAATGTAAAGTCTGATTAAATTATATCCTAATTTAACCTATTCCAGTGTTAAAAAACAGATTAATATGAAATATTTAAGGCCTGAAATATTTCAGTAGCAAAACTCAATTATTTATTGTGTAATCACTAATCTAGAATCAAGTTTCTCTTATCAACCTAACACAGACCAACAAATGACTTAAGTCCATTTATTGCTTGTATTCTCAAATTAGATAATTGATTATAGTGTTGGAACCTAATAGAAACAGTTGTATTATTAAAACTATAGGGCATGGGTTGCACCTGCGCTTTAAAATAAAGATGGCTGGTCTATTGAAAAAACTCAACTGTAGATTTAATATATCTAGCCCAGGGGTCTCCAAACTACGGCCTGCGGGCCCGCAAGGTCCTCTCATCCGGCCAGCTGAGATATTTTTGTCCACAGAAAAATGTTTATTGGAGGTGGCTGAGGAACTTTGCTCAGAAAATTCAAAACAATTTGAAAATGTAGCTTTTTGTAACTTTCCTTTTCAGTCATGGGAAAACAGTGTTTTCTTGTAGAGGCATTAAAATAGCTGTGGACTGGTTTAGAGAAAGAGGTCATACAGATATAACAGCATTTGTTCCACAGTGGCGTAAGGAAACCTCAAGACCAGATGCTCTTATATCTGGTAAGGTTTTGCATTTCTGTAGTTAAGAACTTGAGTCTTAACAAATAACAAGGTTGTTGTAATTTGCATTTTAATCTAGATACATTGTTAGATGGTTATTCATTTGAAGCAAGTGGTTAGTGTGTTTATTGAAAATGCTAGTTTTGCTATTTTAACTTCTATGGGAGTAGTCTTTAAAAATATATACTAAGCTTTGTAACAGATTTTTGCACCTGGACAATTACATACTTGCAATGAAGAAGACAGCTGACAATGTCAAGAGAATAACTATTGAAAAAATTGATATATTTATACTTATAGGTCAAGATATACTTGCTGAATTAGAACAAGAAAACATTGTTGTATTTACACCTGCTAGGAGAGTAAAAGGTCGCAGAGTAGTTTGCTATGATGATCGCTATATTCTTAAGCTTGCAGTTGAAACAGATGGTATTGTTGTGTCTAATGATGTATACAGAGATTTGGTTAATGAAAATGAAGAGTTCCGCAAAGTAGTGGACCAAAGGCTGTTGATGTACTCTTTTGTTAATGATAGGTAAGCTTTTACATACCTAGTAATTTTTTTTTATGCTATCCTGTATCATGAACTCTTGGTAAACATGTTTGAATCTTTGGACTTTATTTCATATTTGCCACATTAAAATAGTAAAATTTAAAAATGCATAAAGAACCTTAAATAAAAATGTAATAGTAAAAGTGATATGCCAAATTACAACATGAAGATACAAGGTTTGAGGAGGGAGCAATACTGTTTGACATGTTGATGAGTTGATATGACAAAATAGGTGTTTCTTTAGTTTTGTTTGGGACAAGTTTTCTGAATTGAATTTTTTGATGTAGTTAGGTCAGTTTTTTAGATGCCCATTTTAATTGTTTATAAAAAAAAATAGAGTTCCGTAAAATAATTTTATTTTAATAAGTGATTTAATGTGATGGTTTAAATCCACGGATGAGCTTTTGTTAATGCCAAAATCATGGCTTTCTCGACATATAATTCCTTTTTTTTGTTTTCAAATGGAGAAGAGTTGAAAATCCACTCTCCCAGAAATATGTAGATACAAATAGAACTAAAACTCAAAAGGCAAGGTGTTGTCACATTTGAGATGAATGTTACATACACACCAGAGTTGTGTGTGCAATTTTTGTGTGTGCAGTTTTTTGCAAATCCAAGAATAAATTTGGCATTCTGTCAATTTCAATAGTAGCAGAAAATGAATTTCGTGTCAGTATTTTTTATTTTTCTTTCAGCTTAAGGAAGTAACACTGTAGTTCATTTTTCAAGGAAATCCACTCATTCAAATTTTCATTTAATTTGCCTTCAGATACATCTACCACATTGCAGAGTTTCTCAAACATGGTAAAGATTTTCTTTACTCTGCCAGTTTTTCAGCTTGGATTAAATGCTCAGAGATTATCCTGAAATGTGATGATTTTCATTTCCATTTGCCAAAGTTTGAGCCTATTTTCCAATTCTAGTATATTTTCTAAATATGCTACTCTTTTCAGCCAACTTTTTCAAAGTAGTTTTAACAGCATACCCATAACCCAAGCAGTGGATTCCACTTGCATGGGGAGCAGTTCTGTTACTTTTTCTGACTGCCTGATTTTGACTCAGGCTGTACAACACACCCCCCCCCCCCCCATTGCCAGTTTTCCACCTTAATAATCTAATCTAAAAAAATGTATAATTAATTTCTCCATAATCTCTTTTTGAAGAAGTTTTGAGTTAATCATCATCATTATCTTTTCCCTTTTGTGTCCAAGACACTTGGCAGTTCTCCAATATAGTTCTGTTTTTGTCTGTTGCTTTCTGTTGTGTACCTCCACGTTTCCAATGGCTTTCCATGTTTCCTTTTTCCTTGAGGTGTCCAGTTGATTGACATTTCTGTGATATAATCTGGATTCAATCTTAAAATGTGATCTATCCAGTACCATCTTTTTTTTATTTTTTTCAGAAATTGCTTCCATTTCCATTTCTCTCTTTCATTTTAGATGTGTTTCACAGGCACTTAGTTTGGAAAGAATCCAGTGATCTACTGGTAGCGGTTTTTAACTGTTTAGCATTCAGTGCCATACAGAAGGACACTAAGGACACCACTTTTGAAAAGTCTGCATTTGGTCTTAAAGGAGATTTTCTGTAACAGCCATGTTTGAGTTCACTACACATTAGGAACTCTTCCTTGATAGCATCTGAATAAATATATTTTATTGAAGACAAGCAAATGCAAACACATAATTGTTAATCGAAAAGCAAGCAATTGTGAAACTTTGATTTTATTTTAAATCAACCCTTCAATGTCTGTTATTTAACAGATATTTATTGCAAATTTATTGCAACATGCAGGGTTTGATAAGCTTTCTCATAGCTTTTTTCATGGCAATTTCCAATATGACTAAATATGATAATTCAACTAGTGCTGTGCTCTTTTGCTGACAAGTCTCTGATGTTGGCAGCTAATTTCAGGCTGACTAAAGAAAGCCAAATCCTGTTTAGCATGTTAAGTATGGTATATTGCTATGTGACATTAGTGTTTTGCAGGGTTTATAGATTCATTAATAAGAACTAATTTCCACAATAGGTGTTGTGGCTTCTCTGTTCCATTGTTAAATTAGGAAAGCAATATTTCAGATATTCTTTAAGTACTTTGTTGTTTTTTCATTGTAGGGGAAAGAAAAAAATGTCTAATACTTGCACACCATGCAAATAATATAAAAACTAATTAAAAGTGAAAATTATTATCATCACTGCGTTAGTTACAAATAATTCAATAATCAACAGCATTACAATAAGATTAAAAAAATATTTTGAAAAATGTCTATAATCTATTTAAAAAGTCATCTAGCAATAACAAAGTCACGCTGGAAACATCTCTACAGATAGGGCTAAACCAGAAGAAATAATTTATTTTAAAAAATAAAACAGCATGTTTATTTTTTTTTTTAACATACAATAAAAAATGTAAAACTAAATTAAAGGCAAAGATTACGAATAAAAAAATTGATTGTTAACTAGTAAAGAAATTACTAAAAAAGTAAATAAAATAATTCTGAGGAATTTCTATTGCTTCCATCATAATTTAGAAGAAATAATCATATATATGAAACACTATTAAATTTAATAATGGAAACTGAAATGTTTAGGAGGCTTTAATTAGCCTGTATGGAAACTTTATAAAGTATAGGAGGCTGAAGTATTATCATCATCATTCTTGTGGACCCCTTGTGGAACATAGGAGTGCAACCACACCTCTCCATCTTTTCTCTTTCCTTAGGATTATAATCTAGTGCGTGACTGGAGATTTTGCTAATTGGTTTATGCAAAATATGTCTAATCCCTCCCCGTTTACACTTTTGTATTTCTTTGACAAAAGGGTCTTGTCCAGTTTTTCTCCACAGTTCGGCATTGGTAATTTATTCAGGCCACCTGATGTTTAATAAGCTGTGGAGGCATCAGATAATGAAAGTCTCAAGTTTGTTGTTAGTACTTTGCTTTTACACTTACGACATGTATACTATACATGTCTAAACACAAAGCCCAACAAAAGTTATTTTTATCTGGAAACATGTTCTTAACAGAAAATGTATTCTTTAGCTTTCACACTTACAGAACATGTTTTAGAACATTTTATTAAACAAGCATGACCTTTTGACATGGGGCATCTGCTATATAGGCCTAGATAATTAAAAGAAAGAGTAATCAAAGTTTAAATAAACCGGGAGCCATCTCCCCTAAACTTTCTCGAATATTCTTATATAACACTGCAAGGGATGGCAACTCAGGAATTAGACATGATTTTTAATCCATTTTTAATTACTTAAACTTTTTAAAATAGAATAGAATCTCGTAAAAAAAAATGTTCCCACCAAGAGAATGGCTAACAATATGTGTATAATAGTGTGGAATATTATTAGTACTTTATAAATTCATATGCGTTTTTTTGAGAAATCGGAAATAGCGTAAATAACTACTTCCTGTCAACTGAAATTACACAAAATTTGATAGAGGGCAGGGGATTAGATCTCTTACTTATATGTGAAATTTTGTTTATTTGTCTGAAACAATACTCAAGATATAGGCTTTTAAAAAACTAAAAGCAGAATAAGTTCCACATCCGGTAATTGGAAATCACTGAAGAGTTGATATAGAACTAAAAATTTGATATAATACTTATATATGAAATTTCATCAACCTAGATGTAATGATACTCAAGTTATCGTGTTCACAGACACACACACACATACACACACAGACATACAGACAAAATTGCAAATCTATGTTTTTCCAAATGAGGGAGGTGTAAAACTTCGAGATTAGTGAAGAAAATTTTGATTTTTTGCAGGGAGACAATGCTTCCTGTATACTTCGTATATATACGAGAAAGTAAAAAGCCTAGATATTAGGCAAGCAACTTCATTATTTGAAGGAAAATGGTTTAGCCATGGTGCCTACAATTCAACAATAAATTATCTAAAAATTACAGAACATGCAAGATTTTAGAAATTTTATTGGAGTGTCAGAAATACCTAGAAATAATGCTATGTCTAAGACATTACCCACCTGCTATCAGCTCTCCCTCCCATCCCACAGTATTGCTTGCTAATATCTTTCAGAAACAGCTTGTATGATATGAATGAACAGGGCTAAATATTTGTCTGCTGAAGCATATCATTTCTTTAAACATTTGTATCTGACAAGTGCATTAAAAATACAGCGATCCATTATAATATTATTGCAAGATTCCTCTCTTATAGTTAACTATAATGGAAATTGTATTAAGTATATAAGGCTTTTATTGGCCTAAAAGGAAGCTGTATATAGTATAGGAGGCTATTATTGGTTTAAATGTAAAATATCTGAAGTATAGATGACTCTTTTTGGCCTAAAACAAAAATGTATAAAGTATAAGTATAAGAGGCTTTTATTGGCTTTCATGGAAAATGTATATAGTGGGCTTAGAAGGCTTTTAACAGCCTCATCCATGGGTTCCCAATCTGTGGGTCGAGACCCCCAGGGGGGGGGGGGGTCCTGAAGGGCTTTCTGGTGGGTCGCCAACTGGTAGACTAAACTCTTGCAAAGAAATTAAAAATATAAATATTTAGAAGAATGTCTAAAATTAGGCTTTACTAACATCACTGGAAATGGAATAGAGAAGAAACAATGAGCACTGTGCAAAGTTGTTCTCAGTCATGAGTCTGAAACCTTCAAAACTATAACATCATTTTGAGACGAACCGTTCGGAACACACCAAAAAAGATATGGAGTTCTTTCATCGGCTTGAAGCTAGTTGTAAACGTCAGAGACTTAATCGAACAGAAAGTTGTCACCAAGGAAACACAGCATTAGTGCAAGCATCACATGAATTCGCATTAGAAATTGCAAATTAAAAATTAAAAAAAAAACAATAGGAGAAAATATTAACCCTGCATGTTGAAGATGGTGAAATTAATTCTTGGGGATTACAGTGCAGTAAAGGTGCAACAAATATCTGTCTAATACTACTATTCATCGGCTTATAGCAGACATGTCCGTAGATG